CCTCAAATGAGTAACAGAAGCACCTCTGGTTGCAAATGTGTTCTTATCTCAAAAACACAGCCACTCTACATAGTGTGGTTTGGCACAATTACATACACAATTATCAGAATGCATTTCATCACACATCAATATTTCTAAGGTCATAATATAAGTAAAAGTAGTAAAGCAATACACTCCTTCAAAATAAACGTAAATACATTTAAAAAAGGTGGCACACTGTCGTATGTACCTGTCCGCCAGCGAAGATGACAGGGGATCCTGAAGGTTTGGGTCGGTAGGGGATAGTGACCCCCTTAGGGGGAGACTGTAGAGACAAAAAAGGTAGATGTGTTATAATATTGGTGCAAAAAACAACTACAAATTCTGTTGATCGGCTTGTGACCTTTCTGGTCCAAACCCAACACCGCAGCCAAAGGTCCAGGGATCACATAATTAATTTATAGGTCAACAGCTACCACTTTATTTGCTTCATAGCTTTCATGAGTCCACTTACCTCAAGCATGACCACACAGATCTGCTTCACACACTCAATTATCGACTGGGGAGTACCAGCGATGGTGATGGCTCGCTCTGTGGAGTTGGGGAGCATGTCTCCTGCCACTTGTACCTGAGCACCAGTTGACTGAAACACACAATTAGTAAATATTATAAGTAAAATTAGAGCAGAAGTCTGCTGTGTATTTGTCTTAAAATGTACTTCCTTCGATGGGTAAAAGGTGACAGTCAGCTGATTAGAGCTTCAAAATGTTTGCATTACCTCTCGGATTTCCTTGATCTTGCAGCCACCCTTCCCGATGAGGGAGCCACACTGGCTGGCAGGCACCACAATGCGTAGGGTCACCGGGGGCTTGCTGGTAGCTGTGCTGTTTGTCATTGAGCTGCTTATGTCCTGGGAATAAAGAGAAAGGTTCATCTAGTTTGAGCTAGTTGCATCTGGACAGTTAATCCAAGAGTCAGCTAAAATGTTGACCTACCTCTTCCAGCTTTTCAATGATCATAGAGAATGCTTTAAAGATGGCGGTGGTTGGACCTGCTAAAGTAATGATCCTCTCAGGACAATTGCCCTCAGAGATATTGATGCGAGCCCCGCTCTACAAACAAATAGAAAGCAAGGAATTAAAGACATTTGAAAGACATCCTATTGTAAAAGAGAATTCAAGCTGCCGACTGGCCTCACACACACACACACACACACACAATGATATCCCATTGTATTTTACCATAACGGAGATAAGATCTCACCTCTTCTCTCATCTTCTTCACAGATTCACCTTTCTATAAGCAGAGAACAAAAGTCAGACTCAGTCAGTATAATTAAATGGAATAAAAATAAAACACATTCAAATGATAGAAAATCTAAATAGCAGTTATATTAAACAGAACCTTACCTTTCCAATAATACTTCCGACTTCCTAAAATAGAAAAGAGATAACGATTAATTCGGCTCATTAATCATCTGGAGTCACTCATCTTACCTCTTTCGCTACAGCTTGCCAATTTTATCAGGCAAAGAGAATCCTTCAATAACTTAAGTTTTATGGTTTCACAACACTTTGACAAGAAGAACAGTTGTCATTGTAAGAACTGTAAACAGCCATGAATTCTCCAGCTCTCCTTCACAGGCAGTTTGTGTTTGTCCACGCTTGCTCAAGATGGTGCTGTTGACCAAAGGGAGATCCAGGATGCAGCCAAGCCCACAGTGCTGTAACGGAACGTCTACACAGCAGCGTTAAAAAAAATCTTGAAACGCTTCTGCCCATTCACTTTGAATGGGGTGACGTCACTTTCCCTCACTTTTCGCCGAAATGGATTGTGGGCAGGCGAGCGGAGATTTTCAGGATTTTGAGGATTCAAAGTTGAACAATGTTCAACTTTTGAGGCTGAGGTGGAAGCGTCAGCCAATCAAATCCCGTGTACGCAAATCTGACAGTTCAAGCTCTAGCCAATCAAACGGCGTGTATGCTGGGAGAGAAATACCGCAGGTCATTTCCTCATATTCCAAAAAATGGAGGAGAAATCAGCGGTAGCAAATCAATCACCCGGTGCTTTATGACCAGACCTACCGGGATATAAACCGGAGGAGCCAGGCATGGAGGGAGGTGGCAGAGACAGTGGTAGGTTTTCGCCTGTTTTGGGGAGTTTATATCCAGTTTACTTCGGGCTTTTTTGCTTCGTATGTCACGGGCGGGAGATTCATGTGATTGGTTGCTCGCAAAAAATCCTCAAGCTTCAGATACGCCCACCTCCAAGATTTTTTTAACGCTGCTGTGTAGACGTACCGTAAGGCTGCTAATGCCTTGCTAGTGCCTCTTTTAAGATGCTACAAACTAGCAGAGCTTTCAAAAAGGATATTTTATGGACACATGCAAATTTTGAATATACACAGTATAAGCTGACATGTCAGAGATAGACTTTGGGCAGCCACTTCTTGCCATATTTTAGCATTTGAAACCATAATAACAACAGGCCACTGTGGGACTCAAAGATGCAACACGTGTGTGGCTATACCGCTGTTATGAAAGCCGGACGGATTAGTTGAAACAGCAAATGGAATGTCGTGGCTCCTGGTTGCTCATTTTTACCAAGTGTATTATGTAGAAAAGGTTGTTCATATGACCATTTCATTTTTCAAGCCGCTCTGGCATTATTCAGAGATGAATGAAGGAGAGGATGATGATTTTAACTTCACTCTCAGTAAAATAAGTCAGAAATCTTGATATACCAAAATCATAGCAAAGAGGAAAAATTAATATTTTAGGTAAATGGATTCAATTTTGAATACTACAAATTTAGAGATGAGATAATCAAAGTCTCCTTTGTGAAAGCTCAAACACAGGAACATGCCAAAACAGCACTCCACACTATTCTTGGCGATACAGGATGCCGTCACCAAGTCAATACCCTCGCTCATCACATCAAAGAGCTGCCCTTTATTCCCCTGGTATCTCACATTTCCATAAATATAACGTCATAGATTACTACAGTGCCGACACCAGCAGCTGATGGGTGGCCTCACCTTGCCATGCATGAGCAGCCTTATGGTAAGGGTGACATTGAGTCCTCCTTCAATCACACCGGAGTCCATAACTGCAACCTGGGGGTCTGTGCAGAACTGGGGACTTTGGTCACCGAGTTCGATCTAAAAAGGACATAGCAGACAAGCAATGATATACCACATCATGTGCACTTACAGAATTATCTAAGAAGAACAAGAAAAAAGATGGATGCAATTTAAGATAACAAGAGTAAGGAATTTGGTGTGCCTGTAATTTCAGCATTAGCATTCACTACATTAACATTTACACCCATGGTGAGTTAATAGTACACATCTTAGCTTTGTCTAATATACAATTTTCTGACCCCTTGAGATTTTGTAATACTTAAGAATTTCAGATTATGTTGTTGGATAAAGACATCATTAAAATGGGGACATATTTAAATATCAGCATAACACAAAGAATGTAAAGGCCCATTAAACCCAGATATCTGCCCTCAAACTAAAACATTCAGTTAACACCAGACCATGAAACATACTTAGGCTAAATGTGTAACATTAAACATCAAATGTGCAAATATATGATGATTATACCTGGTATTCCATTAGACAAATTGCTCCTTAATAAACCTATTCAAAGAGAAAATGGTAAATCTGTGTCACAGCTCATGCTAATGAAAGTGATGCGTACTATCATTAATCATGATTAAATAGCTTAGGACTCACTTTTACTGTGCCAACTACACGCTGTTAGTTTGCTGCATTTATTTTCAAACATCTAAGGAGTGCTCCGACCCAAATTATCTAACTCAAAACACCAAATATTGAAATTAATCCATCTCCATGCTACTGCTTGGATGCTAACGATGTCTTCATCATTAGCGATGAATCAAGTGTGTCAACAGAAGTGCGATTGATTTACCCCCCACGCTGTAGTAAAACACATTTCGTAATATCCATAAATAAGTATGTTTACGTGAACAGCAGACATTTAAATGCATACTTAGCATGTGTGGTTTAGGTTAAAGTAAGTCCATTAACTATTCTTGTTAAGTCTGTTAGCCATTTAGCATGCTGGAAAATGAATGGGGCATGCGTGCGCTACTTAGCAAAGCTAGCTAGTTAGCTTAATTAGCCAATGTTATTAATAGCTGTGCAAATATCGGACGTTTTCGTTACATGGAAGTTAGTTGCTCTTTGGATCAAATGCAGGCACCATAGACTAAACAGGAGGTTAGACTAACATCAAAATCAAACTTCTCCGTGGCTAGCTAAGCTAGCCGGATCATACGGAGACTGCGTGCTCATCATCGTGCGGCCTGTTAGCATGCTGGGGAAGCAGCCCGTAGCTACTGGGCGCGATTTCTTTCCGCTACTTCAGATCATAACAGAAATATAAGAACAGCACAGTTGAATAAAACTTACCTGATTCGAGTGATGGTACGTGACCGGGGGGAGGGTTGGGGTTGTAAGGGTAGAAGGGGAGAGGTTCGGGTGGGTAGAAACCCGGGGGAGAGTTTAGAAAGGACTCGGGGAAGAGGGAAGAGTGATGATGTGAGATCGAGCTCCACTCCTTTGCACAAAGACAACACAATTATAACCTCTGAACTTTCCCCTATCAGCCAACCAAAACCCCCCTCCTCAGTGTGACCTGAAGGTGCCCCAAATCTCCTCTTAAAAAAAGTTACAGTTGCACATTTGTCGAACATTATGCATAAGAACAACATAGCATTTCAATTAAAGGATGTCATATACAAAAAGAATTTATTGTGCACAAAATAGACGTGTTATCTGGTCGTCATAACAGGAGGCTCTCTGATGGGAAATGACTACTTGTCCACGTGAATTTAAACAGTAATGATCACACAGATGTACGCTTTATGAATGTTTCTAAAATGTTATTTAAAACAGCAATAAAATACTTATTTATAGGGACACTACTGGACGTAAAGTGTATTGCAACTAATAACTTCAATTATTTATTATCTTGAGGAAAACACCCACGTAGATTTTTCCTTTAAATTTATTTATTGAGAAGGTTAGTTGAATAACCTTTATATGTAAATACAATTAGTGATGATACAAAGCAATGCAGAATAACGATTTCTGCAGTCATGTGTTGTAGAAGGAAAACAAATCAATAGGCATACATAAAAAGCTTCAGTATCTATATTATTAATCTTCCTAAAGAAGAAAAAAATACAATATACACAATTTATTTTACAAAATTACAATGTAAGATTTTTTTTTAATATAGCATAACACACTTTGGAAATAATTTCAATATGTCACAATATGTTTGTAATAAAACACCCACAAACCAAAAAAAGATGTAAGACATGATGGAATGCAAGTAAAGCTAAATGCTATGGAAGTGTTCTGTGACGCATTTTTTTACATTCTATTAAAAGTGTTAATTATGACCTTTGTGTGTTTATTGTTAATAGTCCTTTTGTAAAGTGACATTTCTGTGAAAGCCTTCCCTCAAAGTGGAAGCCACAGTCTTAGTCACTGCTGCTGCTGCTGCTGCTGCTACTGCTACTGCTGCTGGAGGACTGTGGGAAAAGAAAAAGAAAGGTTATGTACGTATTCAAATTTTAATAGCTTTTTAATTATAGTTTTAAACACAAACAGGAAACGTTTCCCTGAGTTTCACACTGCAGAGCATTTTTAAAGATGTCTATTTTGAATAGGTGCTGAGGTCACTATTTTTAAGCATATTATAAAGCAAATTATTGATTGAATGTTTACAAATAAATATCATATGTGGTCGCAGAATTTGCAAAAAGAGCTGTAGAAAACAAAACTTTACTTTCCAGAACCAATTAGTATAATCGATTGTTTTTTCTATGCTTATGCACGCAATCATCATGTTTCATTATCCAATCTAGCAACTGGTTATTGATAGTTTTGTTGTGCCATTGCAATATAATTATTCTCTATAATTAAAATTATAATCAATAGCCTATCCCTCATCAAGAATGTTTATTCCAAACAGTATTGTGTCTCTTCAGTTGTATTGCACTTTGCACTTGTTGAGTCATGATTGCATCTTCTCTGTTTAGTGCAGGACTTCAGATTGACATGACATGCGGTTGGAGGCCCGGGGCTGAGGGGCGTAAGAAAGGTCAAGTTTCATATTTTTATCTAGTACTGGCAATAATCCTTCACCTACGAGAGGGTCCATTCTAAACAGCTTTTACAGATTTAAACATAATCTCACCTTGCCGTGTTTGCCCCCTTTATGTGCTTTCTTCATCTTCTTCATCTTCTTCATCTTTTTGTGGCCTTTATGCCCGGCCAGCCCCATTCCCATTCCAGCCATTCCCATTCCAGCCATTCCCCCCATACCCATGGGATTTAGGCCTCCATGATGATGACCTTTGTGGTCATCTTTGTGGCCTTTGTGGTCACCTTTGTGGTCACCTTTGTGGCCTTTATGGTGACCACCTTTTGGAGAGTGGGGGTATGGACCTGGGTGAACACCCCCAGGAGGGACTGGATATCCACCTGGAGCCATAGGATAAGGATGCTGGCCAGGAGCTCCATAAGGCATCGCCCCTGGATGTACATTTGGTCCCATGGCTGGGTTCATGCCAGCCGGGTATTGTCCAGCCGGGTATTGTCCAGCCGGGTATTGCCCAGCCGGGTATTGCCCAGCCGGGTATTGTCCTGCCGGATATTGTCCTGCCGGATATGGTCCTGCAGGGTGTTGCCCAGCCGGGTATGCTGGGTGTGCAGGTTGGGGAAATAGTCCCCCTGATGGAGGTGCAGCAGGATAGGCAGGGTTGTAGCCAGGTGGGTAGGCAGGGTTTTGGGGGCCCATCGGAGGGGGAGGACCTAAAAAAAAGCAAACACACAATATTGCTCAGAACATCTATAATATAAGTTAGGCCTAAGAAGAAAATAGCTTTGATGATGATATGATTTCCTTACCTTGATTTGGCCACATGGTTGTGCTTATTTTATGTGACAAGGAAAACACACGTCCCAAAAACCCTGAGGAAGCAATGGAGAATTAATGCCTTAATACATAATTAATTAAAATGACATTATATGGCTAACAACTACACTGTCTTTTATCATATTATTTAGAATGTAGGGAAAGATACAATCCATATCAAACATGTCACCACGTTTTTTTCCAAACAATGTAGTTCATTATTTCTAATGATATCATGCTTTGTTAACAAACGTTGTATAGTTTATTTGATTGTGTCATGAGTTTAGACTTTGCTCTTGATTATGATTTGTTTTCTGTTAAAATACAAATGATTGCTAAAGATAAAGATACACAAATATTCTAATCTATAGACTGTATAGGTCTAATAATACAGTCAAGCAGTGAAACTTAACTTAATTGACTTGTTTTAAACTTTTACAACTACCAAGAAAAGTACTTGAATAATAAACTATACAGCGTGTTAACATGGATTAGAGTCACTTTCCCATATTACATAAATACACCCAAAACGGGTCATGACGTGCTTAACATAAATTGTGGTCTAATGCTTCAACACATGCCAGTCATTTCCCAACACCTTCCTCATGTGAGCACGATATGACGGAAATCACAAATCAAAGTCTTAATATTCTGATTGTTGTAGTTTATAGTTGTTCTGGTCTATAAATGCCACTAAAAATATGCGTTTGTGAATGTCGTGGGTTTACCTTGGAAACTTCCAGCAGATTGTCAGGAATCTTGAGTTCCGGAGTTCTGTATTTGTTCCGCATTGAGCAGCAGAGATGCATCAGGAAGCCACGCCCATTGTTAAAGGTTACGCACCTTATTTACGTAATGGCAAAAGTCCAACAGGCTATGATAAAAGGCTGATCTACGTGTTTCTGAGCTACAATAGATAATGTTAATGATGTGTCCTCCCAAACATTGTGAGCAGCATTGGTTTTGCCCATGACACACACACACCTAACATCAATCAAGGACATCACGGCTCAACATGTAAAAGGCTGGCTTTATTAAACCAAAATCTGGCCCAAAAAGGTATTAATACAAATAACTATTGTTGCTCTCTTTCCAAACTAACCGGTGAGGTGAGCAACAACCTTTTTTGTTTTGTTTTTACAAATATCCTACCAATATCTATGTTTTTTTTTTTACAACAAATATTTGCAATGTTGTTACAGGAAATGCACATCTGGAATTAAAAACCATAATGGCTTTGTTCAGTTAACACAGCAGACAATTTCACAGCTAGAAAAAGCAGTGTTAATAATAACATTAATAATGATAATGTTCAATTAAAATGTCCCATTAAGTCATGACTGTTTCACATTGAGCCTGCATAGAATTTCATTTATTTTATAAGGTGTCATTTAAAAAATGTTGTCAGTAAAAAGACTTCAATCATCCTATTAATTTTCTGACATGGCAAGTTAAATGACTGCTGTGAAAATGCCCAATTACTTTAAGTGTAATTGTTAGTTGTGTGAGTATCTTTACTTTTAGAACATTTATTATTTAAATATAAAATCAAAATCATACATCATAGTTACCTAAAATTGTAAAGTAACACAAACAAAGTAACAGATAATTGCTAAAGTAAGGCATGTATTTCACAAAAACATTTTTATTTCATTATGCAATTATATACGAGTGTTTTCATTTTTTAATCATTTTTCTGGATAACAATGAATTAATAAAGTTGTAAATATTTAATAGAATGAAAGAGATTAATGGGAACATGTTGCAGTCAAGAAGAAGAAGAAGCCATGCTTTAACAAGGGGCTAAATATACGGATCTAAATATTGAAAAGCTGAAAAGTAGTGAAACAAATAGGACAGTGCAGATTTCTGATATGTAAATTACAAGAAGTTATCTCTCCATAAAAGGAACAAATATCATGAAGAGTAAGAAGACTGAAGATTCATTAATCTGTTCAATACACATGGAGCGGTCAGTCGAGCATCCGGGTCACAGTCCCAACAATCTGTCAAGAGCTCCTGCAGCACAAATCCCTGAAAGTTGTGAGATTTATTTTTAATATATTGACAAACTAAATCAACTATCTTAAACATTTGATTAGCTATATCGGTTCATGTATCTTTGCAAATACAGAAAACAGCATTTTCCAGTGAGTAGCACTGTGTGAGAATACCTGTGGTAGCAGTCCCCAGTCTTTAGGTATGGAGGGTCTTTTCTCCATGTGAAACACATACTGGATGAGGCTCTCCAGGGTTACATCGGCTCTCAGCTCTAATTCATAAGGCAACAGATGCTGTGGAGCAACACCGCCTGCAGATGGAGACATTTGCATGCATTTTAACATCCGTTTAGTCTCATGACATGACGTGTATCCAAGCAGTGCACAGAGGTACTGTACAGCTCATTCAGCAAAAAACTACAAAGGAAAGTGAAAGCAGAAATTTGCAGTATTATAAACGTTTAAATTCATATTTTTTTATATTTTAACGTGTGGCGTTCTTAAATAAACAAATATACATTTTTTTGGTTTGATAGAAAGAATTAGCTTTGGTGTATTAGTGCATAACACAAACATAGTAAGAGAAAATAAATTGTAAAGTAAAGAAAGTCAGAATGATCAACAAACATAAATAAAGAATATAAGACCACCAATATAACAAATACAATAGAAATTATGTGCAAGATATCATAATTAAAATTAAAACGGCGTTTTCAAAACAATCACAACTAAAATATACTACGCAGTAGACAATATATCTTAAATCTAAATGAAGTACAGCGTTTCTGTAGATTACAATAGGGCTGTTTAGCGTGTACAGATCTAGAAGCCCATCACATTTACTGATGGCTTTGCATGATCTGATCTAAGGAGTTTTTACCTTCAAATAAATCAGAGCAACGCATCAAGATCTCCCACAGCAGCAGGGCCAGAGCGTAGATGTCTCCCTGCAGTAGACACCAGCCGTTTCTGAGGTTCACAGAGCCTTCCAGGATCTCAGGGGGCATGTAGCGCAGCGTGCCCAACTGAGCATGGGCCTGCAGATGGAGAGTCATGGGAATTAGTTGTTTCTAATGTAATAGGATTTTCCCTCTGCATATCTTCATTTATTTTAGTAAGGATTCTAATGAACGGAAAAGCCGACCTATTGCATATCATTTACTGTTTACTCCTATTATGGTTTCACTGTGCTGTACCCTAACAATAATAAGTTGTGGCTCCACCAGGGTCTCACCTCCATGTTTGTCGCATGGAACCTGTGATGTCCTGAACAAAATCTCAGGATGGTTGAGCATCCAAAATCACACAAGACACAGGTACCATCTGCTCTTACAAGCACGTTGGAGCTGCTGAAGTCTCTGTGGGCCACAGGGGGTTTATGCACATCTGCAAGAAAAGACACACATGTGCTACTATAAGAATGTTCTAATTGTTTGTTTATTTGACTACAGTGGATTTAATAGATCCAGAAAGACTTCATTCATTAAGCTTGTTTAACTGTGGAGCCTGCTTCGTCTTTATATTGATGTGAGCTGTTTTAAACAGCTGTGGGGATCTCAAATAGTTTTAAAATACTTAATTTATAATAGTACATTTAGTTATATAAAAACATTATAATCAAAATTATTAGTCATGTTTGATATTGAAGCAACAATGTGCATATAGACCCATACGATTGTACAGGCATGCTTTGTAAACCAGTAAGATAAAACACAGACTTGCCCACCACACACGCACACAATTGTTCAAAATAATATTCTGGCCAATACCATGTATGTGAAGGTCAGAGTGGAGATAGGAAACTCCCTGCGATAAAGACTGGCACAGCTTCACTGACAACATCCAGTTGGTGGTGTGTTTACACAGATAGGAGTGGAGAGAGCCCTGAAATCAAAGGGACGTCAGTTATGAATGTCTAAGAATATGAACATTAAAACATTTAGTGTTTGGCCACATTTGTACAATAAAAATTAGTGTTTAAGAATATGGGGTGAAAAACTGTAGGAAGATAACAAAACAAAAATCAAGTTAAGACCTCATCTCACCTTTAAGGTTATTTTGACTGATCTGGTGGAAAGCAGTTGGTTTTTTACACATCCAGTTACAAAGAAACATTTTTTTTTAATTGTAATTTCTCTTTATCTGATCACCTCTCTAGTTTGTTCACTTGTTTCTAAAAGTAGTTAAATAGTCTCTAAAAGTGTCTGTCTGTCGGTTGGTGCTAAAGCTTACTGCCTACTTCTGCAGGACGGAAAGCTTATCAAAACATAAGCTGAAACTCAGTATAAAGCTCTGGAAAAGCTAAGGGGAGCTGCCAATTCAGGTGATACGTCTCAGTAGGTTCATCACTATGAGCATTTTAAAATATTTAGTTTCCTATCAGAGTCAAACCCCCCTTTCTTTGCTTTCTTGCCCTAACTCTTTTGTGTTTTCCTTCACCTTTGTCTCAGAATAACATTTGATCTCTCAGGAAATGGAATATCCCATTTAAAATAAAATAAAACCTACTTTCCACTCACATATTCAGCTAATTGCAGGACAATTAGCCAACTGCTTTCATCTGGTGTCCACCCAGAGCCCAGGAAGTTGACAATCCCAGCATGCTTCATCAGTGGTAGCTCATAGACCTCCTTCTCTGCAGTAAAGGTATGTTTCCATCCTGCAGGGAAAACTTTCACAGCAACCATGGATCCCTTGTATTTTCCCTGCCAGACAGTGGCAAAATGCCCACGGCCCACAATCTGAAAAAGTTTGAACATACAGGTAAATATGTCGAGATAAAACACTCCATTGAATGATTTATCAATATTTTACACACTGCTAACCAAACAGAATGAATCCATATCTGGGCTTACCTGCTGTAGTTCAATGTCAGCAAAGTCAATCTCAGAGGTTTTTCTTGTTTGGCAGGAACACAGTCGTGAGACACTGTCAGCATCAGGGGAGGGTGGATTCTCCTCCCCTGATGAAAAAAAGAGGATGGGTATTGTTATCAAAAGAAACATTTTAAAGGCACAGGAATCTGATAACAAACAAAGGACAGAGGTAAGGGGGTGTTATTGAAGAGATAAACAGCAAGGTCAGTCTTCCACAGAGAATGAAACAGTTACAAGGTCAAACAAAGACATCATGAGAACGGAGTCTGAGTTTAAAAGTGCGGAAACGTGTAATACTTCAAGAATGAGAGGGCATTTCACTTCTTCTTCTTCCCTTTTTAATCTCCTCTTGTGTAAATGTGCCTCCTATACAAACATCAACAGTTAACATACTTGAATGTCAATAGACTTATTGTATTTTAACTCAACATTTCTGCTTATATAAATCAAAGCAAAATTACACATTATTAGTAACAACAACAAAATACTTTCCCTATATCCTGTCAATAATCACTGTGACAAAAACTGGTGTTAAAACCTACTACTACAATAATGCATACCTAAATCAGGTCAGTTTAATTTAATAACCATTTCTGACCTTTAAATTATACAGGGCGGTATTTTACTTTTTTTAAATGTTGAAAACAAAAAGGATCTTACGTTTCACTTTCAATATCATAATTATGAGCCACAGGACTAGCAGAGTTCCAGTAAGAATAATCACAGCTGCTTTTTTTCTATCTGGGAAGAAAACAAAAGGTTTTTGTTATTGTTATCTGTGAATGATAAATTGCAATTCTTTCTAGACAATTGAGTGTTTTCATTACTTTACAAAAGAAGAAAGACTTTTAAAAAGGGAGTAAAAGGGGGGTGTTCACTGGACAAGACGTATGTGGAAATGCACAGAGTATAAACAAATAGATAATGATACAATGTTCTGTTATAAAAAGAAAATAACTTAACAATATCAGGATAATACCAACACTATGTTGGTTGCAAGTGATAAGATATAGATAGTAATCGTATTATCATCATACCCTTAGAATAAGAGTAGGTGGGTAGAGGCTCTTCCGACTCTGAGGTCCAAGTGATGTTGTTGTTGCAGAGGTCTGTGTTGCACGCACATTTAATGGCAACGTTGTCCCGTACTTGTACTGCTTGTGCTATGCAGGTGTTGTTTAGGCAAGACTTTTCAACAATATCACAAGCTGCGAGAACAGAGAAATCAGTAACACCATGGACCCGCATAGGAAACAAACTGAGAACCTGCAGTGTAACCAATTACATTATGCATAATATACATCACAGCATGATTTGTTAGAGGAAACACTAGAAATGTGTATGACTCGTCTAATGGTACAAGAATAATAATCTAGACCTGGCAGATTAATCCAGAGGTTCTTTTCATGATATTTCACTACAGTTTCTTACCGAGCACGTCAACCTGTAGCTGGCCATTGATGATCCGATAATAGCCCACGCAGCATTCGGTGCTGTTACAGACCTGGACCGACCCATTCACATCACCCGCATCTTTGTATCTTTCTTCGTTTTGAGGAGTCATTTTGAATGCACACTGTCTCTTCTGAGGAGAAGATTGGCCGGTGATGCAAATAAAGATGCACTCTGGTAGGAGAATGAAAAACAGACAGCGTTGTAGTTGGGCAGAAATAACATTTTCTCTCTGGTTATCAACATTGTGTTCTAACTGTGTCTAACTGTTGCACTCACACTGTGTCTTTCAAGCCAACAATGGTGTCTAAAGTGCCGTTTAAAATAAATATTTCAATACAATCTACAGCTTTATTATTAGAGTTTCTAAGACAGAACTTAATTGGTGATGGTTCTATTATACACTAAATATGATTTATTGAAGCCGATATCACTTGAAATGTCATTACATTTATTAAATGTTTTTAACAAAGACAATCAACATCAGTTGCACTAATCAATTAGACTTGCTCACCCGTTTTATGTAGTGAAATCATGTAAGATTTGCTTTTGGGTTAGTCAAAGAAACCTAAAAGTGCTTCATATCAGAAGTCACAATATTCACAATGTTTTTGCAGCTATCACACTATTAGTGGCTGTGAATTATCTCAGTGTTCAGTTCTCATCAAGTGTTTCCTAATGCTTGCTAGGAGAAACACTCTTTCCCAGAATGTTTTATCAGCACTGCAGTTAAAGGGGTATTCAATGGTAGCATATATATATATATATATATATATATATATTGACCTATATGCAACATTATTTTTATGCAAAAAGCCTAGACGGAGGTTGACATAGTTGTAACTTTTTACAGAGGGTTGGAACCATGTCAAATTGAGGGAATTAACGAAAACTTAAATATTTCATGTCTTAATAAACGTTTTTAATGATGATTCTTGTTTAGGTTAGGGGTTACAGCAGACAAGCAACAATTCCCATGGAAATGTAACCAGACAAATACAAACAATACACATGCAGCTCAACAGTTTAAAAGCAAATTCACTCACCCAGAGCCAAAATCAGCCACCACTGCTGCAGGATCATGGTCACGGAGTCAGGACCGGCCAAGGAGTGAGTATTTATCAGTCCTGGGAATGTGAGAGGAGTTTCCCACGTTTCCAAGCATCACTCCCACTGCCACACACCTGCATGTACAACATATCCCGCTGCCACACAAAGGGCTGTGGGAATACAGGACTTTTATCAACATAATCATCCGCCACTGTAAAGCAACAGCACTCAAGGGGGCTGTTGTCTGCAGCTGTGGGGTGTCGTCAGCGTCATTCTGTCAGGGTCCCTTAAAATATGTAGAAGCCAAATTATAAGGGAGAATAACAGAATAGCTTACATATTAGAAACAAGTCAGAATCATGATATATAATGCCATAATCAGGATTCATTTATTAAATCATGACAAACTAAATTGAAATTAGGATTTTTCAATCTAAATTATGCAGATTGCCAAATCAAAAATTATGAAAATGTACAATCTTTTAGGTAATGATCAAATAACTGATGCCATTCCAATTTGCTGAAGAAAATGCAAAGCACACACACAAGTTATTATGTTTAACAGAACAATAAATACATTTAGTAAAGAAGCAACCTACAGCTGTGATGTTTTTTTGTTTGATTTGTTAGTAATATCATGCTAACATGATGTAAAATGGGGCATGTGCAGCATTGTTGTTGTGAGAATGATGATAGTTAGCTCTCAAAAGGTTAAAATTACCACTTAGAATCTACTGGTTTTGATTTACATTTAGTTTTGTGAATATTTTTTATCTTTGAAGATGGGTCACCATGAACACAGCTTTGCTTACACACCATTAATGTAACGTTCTACCCTTGTATACATATTCTGTCTATGTTTCCTCTACTGACACAAACAAACTCACCTTTGCTGTGACTCAATTCATGCCAGGTCTTTTTATGAATATATTTTTCGATTTGCTTGGAAAAACTCCTTTTTGCGTTCATTTTATCACGACAATATTCGATAGTACAACTTTTTGAAAGTTATCAGTAAATCTGGCAAAACATTTGTGTCTTGAAAGGGCGCACGTTTTCATCATCATTTCCTCCCCTTCGGGCGGAGTTGATAAGCGATAAGGTTCGATACTTAATTCTGTGCATCCGTGTTGCCCTGAGGTTCAAAACAAGCATCTCTAGTTTTCAATCTGATTAATTAAATTGGTACCTGCGCGGCGGGCGGTCCTAGCTAAACTTCAGGAGTTAGTGGGTCACGGTTTTCAAGAATAGATATGGTAAAGTAACTTATTATTATCACGTTAAATACAAACTATACATGGTTTTATGAATTGTTAAAAACGACATTTGTTGTGATATGTTGCATCAGGCAGGGATTGTTGGGATGAAGGCCGTCACAAAAATACTAGCGTTAACCGATGTTTTCGAGGAGGACTCAGAAAATGAGAGAACATTTGACGGCTTTTCTGATTCTGACAGTGAAATCGACGTAAAAGACTATAAAGTAAGTAACTTTTCCTAAATATACTGCAAGAACCAGCATCAGATTGAAAATGTAAACAATAAATAGATTTAGTAAAGGCAATTATTGGTTGTTTTACAATATAACGCTGGCAAATTAGGAATATTATCGTACAATAATGTTACCCTGTTTGAAAACAGAAATGCAGCATCTACTTGTCTTTAACTAGAGGTTTTGTCATAATCAGATCAATTTAACTTTGACAACTTTGGTGTAAGAGATGTATCAGTAGCCAAAAAGAAATTCCATTGGATTTGAATTTGTTTTCCATCAGGATTCACATTTGGAAGATGAAGACCAGCCTGACCTTTCACCCAAGAAGCAGAGGGCCACATCTAAACCATTTTCTGGGCCCCAAAAATTCCAGCTGAGAGTGGCACTTCGCTCCACTCCCTCTACCCAGCAGTCCACTGATGAAGAGGAGGCAGAAGAGGAAGAGAAGATGACCAAGAAGAGAGTGCTAAAGCGGGCAGGAAAGACCACTCCGGCAAAGAAGAGGAAACGTGTTACATTTGAAGATGTAGAGACAGCCGTAGAGACAGCCGTAGAGACAGCCGTAGAGACAGCCGTAGAGACAGCCGTAGAGACAGCCGTAGAGACAGCCGTAGAGACAGCCGTAGAGACAGCGAAAGATCAAGGATCCGATTCAGCAGAAGATGTACCTGCCTCTTTCCTGGACAAGAGAGAACGGACCATCAAGGCCAACAAAGCAATGGTAAACCAGAAACTATTTACAGTATTGTACTATTTGAAAACTGCTTGATTTAACAGTGGTTCCCAAAGTAGTGGCTAAGTTAATAATACTTGTATTTTTGCATATAGTAGAAACAGATAATAAAGGTAGAGCTGTTGGCCCAGGGCCTGGATATCATTTAAGTATGTCCTTAGATTTGACTAATGAATGAAAGTTCATGAAAACGTAATAATATTTAAATGTAGTAAAAACTGTATTAGTTTTTAGTGCAAAAAAAAATATCCCTGCTACACTGACTTGAGAAACTTCTAATTGTACCTTGTCTGTAATTGTTCTTACACTCCATGTTTTCTAACAGTTGGCTCAGCTGATGTCGGACCTGAAGAAGATGCCAGGAGGCGCAGGGATTCTGAAAAACCAAGCAGGCCCAGAGATGAAGAAAGAGAAAAATTCTGTGAGCTAATTTAAGAAAAAGTATCTCACAATAGAGATGTTTTTGCAGTTTTTAATAGAAAGAAAAGAGGAGGTGGAAATACAGTTAGAGCATTCATATCTTGCTTGAAAGTGTAAACCATAGGAGAAATATATTTAGATACAGATGGCTACATTTTTTAAACTCAGAATTGAGAAGATCTCTGTTTTAATAGTGTTGTGCTGAGTTGATTTTATTGACCATCTGCTGCAGCGTCCCCCTCGCTCTGCTGCAGCTGCAGGAGAGACCAGGAGGAACCCAGAGCGGGCGTCTCGCAGACGGACTCGCTCTATGGGGGGATTTGAGGGACCTTTATCCCCTAAGAAGGAAGAAGTGGAGTGGAGCTTGGAGGAGGAGCTGCTGGAGGTCAGCAGCACATTCATTTATCAAGGACAAGTGGGAAATGTTTAGAAAAACATTGTACTACAGCACTGTATGTATCGTGCTGTAGGAGGAATGTGGGTTTGTTTAAAACTACATGAGTGTTGTATCACCCTTCAGCAACAGTATACAAGCGTTCACAGAAAGTGATTAGTAAGAGAGTGAAAACTGTGTTAGTTAGATAATCCATTTGATATTTGTAATATGTACTGTGAAGTGGTTAAAGAGGTGAGCAGGTTTTGGTCTTTTTGTAGGGCTAGCTAACCTATTTGATGACTTGTGTCATTTTCTGTGTTAAACTTAAAGGTCTCCTATTATACTATTTGTAGGCATATATTACAGGTCTCAGATATATAAAAAACATGTCTATGAAGTGTTTTGCTCAAAATACCAAACAGATCACCCATTCTAGCCCTGCCTCATACCCCTCTGTTTCAGCCCTGTTATGCTGCGTTCACACCGGACGCGATGCGACGTTTGGGGGCGGCGCGATTACATGTAAAGTCAATGCAGAGACGTGGACAGACGCGAATTCGCTCCGACGGCGCGCATGAAGCGGTGGACGCAGCGCGAATCACACGATTGAGGCGATTGAACGGTGCCGCGTTAAACGCGAGAGTTCCATTTTTTCAACTCGAGCGTCAAATTCACGTGACGCGTTCTCGCGGAAGCCAATCAGCGGTGAGGATCTCAGCCGCCGTCACTGACGTTCAACCACACAACATCAGCCGTTAGCTGTTAGCAGTTAGCACACAGAGCTCACAGCTCCTCATATCCGTTCAGAAACTGGACAAAAGTTAAACAAGTACAAACCACAGACTGTCTGTGTCATGGTGAATACAGTCGCTGCTTATTTATGTCTGTAGGCCGTTGTTATGAGTGTGGAATGAGCATATACAACGTTAGCTTAGCCTGGTTGACCCGATCTTCATTCAGAAAACAAGCATTTTAAAAGGTGTTTTGCCTGCCGTCTTGTCTGCAGACTTGTCAAAGCATTAATTCATGGTTGTTACTAACCGGTATCAGTATGTTGTTACTTCGGCATCATTTAGAAACGTGTATTACAATTTAATCACGGTAAAATATGTTCATTTGTTGTAGTTGTAGCTCCCGAGCCAGCGCGTCTTGTTTGAATGATGCGAGTAAACACAGCTGGCAGCCGCGGTGAACCTCCAGCGTTTAGAGCGATGCGATAGGAGCGATTAGAGCGAAGCGAATAGTCGCATCGCGTCCGGTGTGAACGCAGCATTAGGGAAGTGCTGATTCTGGGTCCGTAGCTTTAAATAAAAAAGAGGAGAGCTCATGCAGGAGAATTCTACCCAGATACTCCGCTAAATGCTGCCGTGATTAAACGCCATATTATGCTCCAAACCACATCAAGGATTATTTCTGAAACAGTATGGAGTTCAAATGCTTTACTTTCTCATGGGTTTACCACAAGGTGGGTACCTTTTTATATCCGGCTTTTTTACACATACTCTCTTCAGTACAGGTTAGCTCTGAGTGTTAGCGATGCTTGCTAATGTAAACACAGACCATATAACTTCCAAAACACGTCGCGCATTGTTTCTGATAGGGCCGTGGGCGTAAAGCCAGCCCACATTTCCGATATGTCGTCATGACAGCAGCAAATCTGGATCAGCTCCGTTGTTCCCCCGTTTTTAGAGATGTGGGTAAGGAGGAAAAGAGAGAGGGTTGTATTTTCGAACACTTTGTGAGTCTCCTGACACACCGGGGACACATATTTATGTATAAAAGACGAATTAAAAAGTGAATTTTGCATAATAGGTGACCTTTTTAAAGCTTAATAACATATCATTCCAGGTACGTCAAGCCCCACGGCGCCGTGCCCCGCGGCCTACTGCGTGCAAGCCTCATTGTATCCGTCCTGTGGAGGACATCACAGAGGAAGAGATTGAGCTGGTGGCAGATATCATGACTGAAAAAGTCTACAACAGAGACACAGTGAGTTTCCCAGCTCTACTCTACCTGACATGCTCTTTTTTTAAATATGTGTGCCCACATCATGTGAGGTTGTAGCCAAAGCTAAAGACAATGCATGACATGTTGTAGAATGTCAGCGTACCTGTCGACCATCTCTTGTTTGTGTGTTTTCAGGGCACGACATGTCATCAGTGCCGTCAGAAAACAGTTGACACCAAGACGTGCTGCCGCAGTGAGGACTGCAGAGGGATTGTGGGTCAGTTCTGTGGGCCGTGTCTGAAAAACAGATACGGAGAGGATGTAAAGAAGGCGCTGCGCGATCCAGTGAGGCTGCTAACACACTAATACACACTTTACACTGTTGTAGATGCACCAAAGATAATCTCAGTTTTTAGATGGAGAAATTGTTATTTACCAAAAATATCAAGAGAGATTTTGAGGCATGTTTTATACACATTTAAAATGGCTGTTTTTACAAGTAAATCAACTAACTTCCCTTCAAGATTTGTGGCACAATGTGAGCCTGATTATTTCTTTGATTTGCAAATGTTTTTGTGGCATTCAGACTATGTTTTAAATATGGACATTTTTGTTAGTGTACCCTTTTCCCCTATGGTAGCTCTACACTTCTAGGAACCCTCCATTAAGTGGCAAGGCAAAAAATAAACAATATCTATCAGCCTGCTTCTAAACACCGGGTTGTTCACAGGCCACGTCTTTTTGATGTTCATTTGCAGCCCCTGCAGGCACCTCAAAGTATTGGCAGACTAGTATTGTCATTAAAAACTGATATATTTTTACATTTGTTACTTTCTCTCATTCTTAACCCAGTCATTTAAGTGTTTTACTATTTTGTTATCTTCTCAGGATTGGAAGTGTCCTCCCTGTCGTGGCATTTGCAACTGCAGCTTCTGCCGGAAGCGTGAGGGCCGCTGCCCGACCGGCATCCTGTTCCCTCTGGCCCAGTACCACGGCTTCTCTGACGTCCACTCCTACCTCAGCAGGTGGGGAACTAATCGAGATTTCATTTGATAAGTTTTAGTGATTTCAAGTTGCTGATCAATGTGACAGAAACATCCCTTTTTTATGAAATACTCATGTTTATCTGGAATCAGATTTTTATACTGCTTTTCCGCCTTAATAGTTACATGAAATGATGGCGCTGACCTCTGCATTGTTTTATTTCTCTCCTTACAGCCTCCGGAGTAAACTGAAGAATGAGCACAACGATGTAGAGATGTGATATCAACACTAGGTGGAGTTTTCAGTCTGTTTTAATACAAATAAGTCATACCAAAGCTGTGATTTTAAATGAATAAAGTATTTTATAATCAGCTGATTGTTGTGCATGTTTCATTGAGACAAGATGGGAAAAAAAGACAAAGTATATTCATAATTTTAATCCAGCTGTTGGCATTTGCAGTATTGTTTACACACAATATAAAATCCCTTATTAAAACGGGGCTGAAAAATAAGAGCACTTGTTTATAGAGTTTCAAAGGAAAGTTATAAACATACAATTCCTGTCATAGGATATAATTATTTTTCAAATAAAGCAGATTCCTGAAACAATGAAACTGGTGAGAAGGATCTTTTCAGAAATAATGTTGACCCTTGCATTATTAGTTACATTTTGCAATTTTTTTTTTTTTTAATTCATTAACCAAGGGATTTGTGTCCGGTGCTGTGCCTCAAGCTGGATAGTTTCCAGTTAGACCTTTAACATCTGCATACCACAAGTAAAAAGTATTAGAAAGTTGATGGACCAAAGAAAGATTCCCTAGTTTTGCTTATTAAACGAGTATGAACCTTTGGTTTTGAGCTTACATATTTATGCTGTCTGGACATAACAAAATACTTCACTCCAGATATGACTAAAAATAAACAGTTTTCCATCGAAAACAAACTGACATGACTGCAAGGCAAAGATGATAAGTATACCACAGGGAAAATCACTTGGAAGATCTGTAATGTATAGAATACATTATTCTATGGCAGAAAGGCTCTTAAATTTAAACATGTAATCTACATATATATATATATATATAAAAGTAATAACATAAGATTAAGATTTGATTGTGCATGAGAAGTTCATACAACGGAGAGGCAATCTCCTGCAATCATGCAAAGATGATCCTGCCCAAGCTGAGAAATTCTGTAGCCTTTACATTTCCAAAAAATATATACATAAAAAAATCAAAATGTTTTGCTATGATAAACATATCAAAGCTTGATGGCTTGAATAGGTACCTACACAAGAGGTTAAAGAGTTATTCTCAGGATTTCAGTGCCCTGACACACCTACATCCTCACATGATAATAGTACTCCTGGCTCTGACCTGCACTCCTGCGCTCCTCCTAAAACGCTTTCCATATTAGCCCCAAGACACTGTGATCGTTAGTTTGTGAACAGCGCACACCCAGAAATGAGAGAAAAAACAAAATGTTTACTGTTCTAAATTGTTAGGATTTTTAGGGATTAATTTAGCTTTATGGGCTTTTAAGCCAAATACAGCAGCCCCGTCTGTCGGCTGGAACCACCTGATGTTTAGGAGGACAGGCAGCTAAGCCCACAGCCTTGGAAACAAGTGAGAGTCGCTTAGTAGTGTTTCTCCTTACTAAAGAAGCTTGTGGAGAGGGTATTACCAGCTGCCAATTTAATATCAAGCGTGCCAGTGTGTGTTACTGCAGTCCCACTATCAAGCAGGACTGAGTGCGTGTGGGTCAAATCTTGGTGTAGTGACATGTCATTTTAGGGGAAATACAATTTCATGATTATTTCTTTAACCAAACATTTTCATCCAACTCTGACCCTTAAACGATACAGGTATCTAAATACAAGATGGAGCTCATTATTCCTGCCTCAATTGTCATAATCAATAGTGTCCGTGTATTGCATTTGAGACCGCCTCTCCCGCCGGACAGGTTCTGTGTCTGCAGTCCCACATGCCCTTTTTTACCCCAAATGTCCAAAATGCATCATCCACTAGCGCCTGTCCTCCTGCTCCAACACAGTCCTTAGTAGCTGTTTCCGTTCATATGGTGAAGGTCCACCTGCATCATGCTGATCCCGCTGCTGGCTAATCGAGCTATGCTCTCTGCGGATAAGGTCTCCATGGTGACAATGGTGTGCTGGTCACCGGATGACACGGTGCCTGTGATGACTTTTGTTCCTGTAGGGGATGCTGGGTCGGTGGAGACCGTGCTGCTGCTGGTGGGGACTGCTTTCTTGTTCAAGTGGGTCTTGATGTGCTTGGAGAGGTGATCGCTGCGCATGAAGCGTTTGGGACACTCTGTGCAAACAAACCGTTTTTCACCTGAAAGAAGGGAGAAACAAAAGTCAATATATAAAAATACTGCAGCGGGTATTACTAGACTACAACAGACCATTTAAGAAATGTACATTTAAGAATGTTATACAATTTTGTAGAACACATTTTCTAAATATTATATTATTATACTATATATATATATATATATATATATATATATATATATATATATATATATATATATAATATATAATATATTATAATATAACGGGAAGATGCAAGATAAGATGATATTATGCAAGATTGAAGAGGCTCAGAATTGCATTATCCATTTCTGTGATTTATTATCTTTAGTAATCTTCTGGCCTTTAAAATGTCAGGTATCAGAAATGATGACACACTGAACCTCGAGGACATTTACTTTCATTCAGATTGAATAAAAAAAAGATAAGCATTCCAATTTAAACCCAAAGAATGAACTGGTTTCAAAATATGCAATTAATATTCCGTCAATCGAGTAATTATTTGATCATGTTAGAAAAAAATAATAATGTGGCCCTTCTTTCATTTCTATTATTAAGTTATTGACCTATTACTTTTGTGTGAGATTGTATGTCCTTCACTAAACAGCATCCTCACCAGTATGCGTCCTCTTGTGGCGCTGAAGCTCGTCTGAGCGGGTGAATCTTTTGCCGCAGAAGGACCAGCCGCAGACGAAGGGTCGCTCTCCCGTGTGCCAGCGCAGGTGAGCCCTCAGGTGGGACGTCTTGCCGTAGATCTTCCCACAGCCGGAGATGTGACAAATGTGCTGCTTCTTTTTATTAGGGTCCCTGCTTGATGTATTAAAAAACAAAACAATCAGAAGAGTTAGAGGCTTTCTGATTTTTACCGACAATAGAGGGTACATCAAATCAGCGATAATAGAAGTGTGTTTTTCTAAAATTCCGTATGAAAAATAGTGACTGAACAAAGTCAGTGACATACCGTCCCTCTCCGTCCTTGCAGAAGGGGCAGGTACAGGCTTCTCTGCGGTTACGTCTCCCTTGAGGTTGTGGGCTTAAATCCTCATCGTCCATAGCTGTGCCGTCATCCAAACTTTCTCCACCCCCCTGCAGCGCCTGGTCTACTGGAGTGATGAAATACAAAAACTAATGTGAACATCTTCGATACATTTCACATAAAGATGACATCATATATCAACTTTTTCATGTATTATGTCCTGTAAGAAAATCCATCCCACTCCTTATGTCATTTCTGATCCAATCTACTGTAATAGGTAAGGTGATGAATTTCCACTATTGGTTTTGGATATTGTATTGTTTATGGGCATTTACAATAGCTTTATTCAACAGGCTTAAAAATCTGAAGTGTACCTAGCAGTGCAAGTACCATTGAGATGAACGTGTTGATTATAACCACTTTAGTAATTAATTTATGAATAAACAGTGAAGTGCCTGGAAACCTGAGCCTTGCAGGCTTTGACTATTATTCCAAAGTTAAAAAAATTCCCTGTTTTTAAACCGGACACATCCTTTATTAATCTCGGATTGAGTATACAGAGAACCAGTTATTTCTGCTTCCTAAACGTTTGTGATGTGACCACAGAGACTGAAAAATACGCCATCCAGTAAACAGAGCCATCTAAATACGTAGCTGATGGGAAGCACATGATTTCATTATAAGGATAACAGCGTGAATCACGTGCACCAAAGCAGACCCAATGATTCTTCACGAACATCACAAATGTAGGCTAGTAAATGTATTGCATAATGTAAGGGGCTGCCAATAGCAAAACTAAAGAGGGGTTAACACGCGATAATGGCTGCTATTAAATGGGAAGGTTCAAGTTACACCTGTACTATGATACAGTGGCCAACCACAACTCGTCTCAGTGTAAACTAAAAAGATACAAAGTTGTCAACAAGATAAAAAATGCATGCAGTGCCGTGAAGAGTTCAGGAAACCCTGGGCCAGCTGAACCGGTTAAACCAGCAGAGCAAGCTCCACACACACACAGAGCAAAAGGGATCAAATCCAGAGATATAGGATACTGACACTTTTCGGTGTGAGGGAAAAATGTCAATACAGAGAGAATCTGGACTACTTAACATGTTTACTCAGCCTAACTGCCATTTACTGTACCGCTGAACAATTACTGTGTGCTATCATATTTGTTGTTTATCAGTTTTTCTTAGAAAATATAAACACAATCAACATTTCCATTGTTTTGAGTAAAGCTAAAATGTATATAAAGATGTCTGAATAGTATTGATTAAAGTAAATCAACTTAAAACATATATTAATACATTTTAAATGATGAAAGTCCCGTGTGATGATGCCATTGAGTAAATATTGAGTCAATTTTTTAAATATTTGCAGCATCAACAAAATATGTATACTATTAGGTGCTTTCACACCGGAGTACTTTTCCCCGTACTTTTCCCTTTTAGTTCCGATAGTTCCTGGGATTTTGCATTCACACCAAAAAGAGAACTTAGTTCATGAGAACTTTTCCCCCCCTTTTCAGTCCCTGCTAGAGAGCAGATTCTTTCCTGGGGAGAAAAAAGTTCCAATTTCTGATTGGCTGGGCGAATTGCAAACCACGCCCCGTAAAACTCAGAAAAGTTTTGTGAAGCCGCCATTGTATTTGCTGGCATTAGCATTATTAGCATTAGCCCCACGCACCAACGGAGAGAGAATAACTTATGGCAACACAAAAAAAAACATGGGAGCGGTGGAGATGAGGTGTCGGCGTTCTGGCGATTTACTCGGAAGGCTTCAGTAGAAGCTGCTGGGAGTCCCAGCAGCTTCTACTGAAGCCAGTCCCCAACTCCGGGGACTTCCGGCCGGGGACTTCGGGTGGCAGTATACGCCGTGAAGTTGTTTGCGGCCTGCCAGTAAACCCAAAGCAGAAGAAGACGAAAGTGACGTCAGCGACTTCATTTGCGTAATCTTCCCTCAGGGAACTTATTCCGGTGTGAACGCGATCTGCTCTTTAGTTCCATGGGGGTACTAAGTGCTGGGAACTAAGTACGGCAAAGTACTTGGTGTGAAAGCGGCTAATGACTCTTGTTTTACATTGAACATGAATTATTCCTGGAGAGCAGGCTACTGACTGACCTGCTGAGCTGGCGATGGAGATGGGAACCGTCTGCAGCTGGTGCATCTGCAGGCCAGTGCCTCCGATCGTGTTGAGATTTATGGTCTGGAGGCCTGGGATCTGCACGGTGTTGACAGATACTCCGCCAGCTCCCCCCTGAGCCTGGCCGAGTTGAGGGAGAGACTGCATCTGGGCCAGCGTTATCTGAGGCCCCGTTGGACTCTGGATCTGAATGGTCTGCCAGCTCACCTGGCCGTTGGGGCCTACAGTGCGCAGGAGGAAGGGGCCCGTGTTTGGCATAATTTGAAGATTTTGAAGCCCTTCCTGGCTGAGTGTCGGAGTCGCAAAGACCTGACCCGCAGCGGTCGTGACAGTACCGGCCTGGATGGTCTGGAGGGGGGCTCCACCTTGGATGATCTGCTGAGGCTGGATCAGGATCTGCTGTGGCTGCTGCCCGTCTCTGTTGTCTGGCTGTATGGGGACACCCAGAGAAGATACGCTCTGCTGGAAGGTCACTCCATTGCTGTTGTGCGTTTGGGCGATTCCATAAGAAGAGGCCTGCGTGGTGATAGTCGGCGCACTTGTCATGTAAGCTGCCGCGCTGCACACTGGATGTTGCTGTTGCTGTATAATTTGGTTCCCCCCTGTATCCCCTCCACCACTTGCATCTCCCCCTCCACTTGTTCCAGTGCTGACGGGCAACAAAGTGATGTTTCCATTTAATGACAGAGGCATATTTGCCAGGAACTGGGGTTGGTTTTGTAACATGCCATTACCTAAGCTTATATTTTGTATGGGGATGGCTCCCTGGAGGAGACTGGGCATTGTTATGATGTTTCCTCCAGCCCCAGCTCTGTTGGTCGTAGCTAGGATCTGCTGGCCATTGGCGGATGACACTATCTGAAACTGCTGCCCTGCTCCAGCAGATACCGTATTATCCTGCTGAGCATGTGCCAACTGCAGAGGCTGGCCATCTATCGTCTGAAACTGGGGAATAATCTGGTACTGGATGTTGGGCATCATACCCGACATGGTGGTAAGCACCTGCTGCCCGTGCATTGATGGAGCCTGAGCTACTACGTATTGCTGTGGCTGTTGAAGCTGCTGCTGCTGGGTGCTAACAGCAACTGCTGATTGTGACAACACCTGCCTGCACTTGCCTATGTCTCCTACTGTCATGATCCCTGAGGAGTCGGTGGTGACAGTGTTAGTGCCTGAGGTTGTTTGAACGCTAAGAGGGATAACCTGCCAGCCATTGGCTGTGGAGGTGAAAACACCCTGGTTTAAGTCCAGCTGTTGCTGCTGGTTTTGTTGTTGTTGGTCTGCAGATGAATCACCCTCTCCTGGGGTGTCAATTCGACTGCAAGTGGCTGCCAACAAGGCGAGAGGAGACGGCTGCTGTGAGTCCTGGAGAGAGAAAACATGAAAGAAAAAGACAACAGACGGAATTTATATAGTGAAAATACATCTTACCATCTAACATACATGCTAATGGTGCAAATCTAGGAAGAAAAATGTCTGTCCAAAATATCCACTAATTTCAAATAAATAAATAAACTGATGCTAACAACACTTGGAACACAACCCTGAATGCTGCTTTACAATAAAACAGCAGAGTAAAATATAATTAGAATAATAAGAGCAGGGAAATTACACAAGTAATAAGCAATGTTTAAAACAAAATTCAGAACCTGAACTAAAGAGACAAAAGGGTTTATAAAAAATAAAAATAAAAACATGTTAACGTATCATTTCAAATTCATGGTGTGGAGTTAATACAAATAACAAATCATACCAAATACCAAAATACATTATGGAACTGGTTTTGTAAATCTAACCCTGCTATATTGCCGTACTCTCAAAACGCCCTTCATAATATTACACCTATGCACGTCTGTTTCCAGTCCCTCCCAGAGACCGGTACTGCTGTAGTAAGAAGTCCAGGGGACGCAGGGTGGGAGAGGATGGGAGGGACCACATGTTCCACAGAGCAGCGGCGGGCTCGGCTTCTCCTCCCCCCAAACCCACCCATCTCCCTCCCACTTCATTTTGCCCTATAAACTGACACACTCCTCTAGCCACCCCCTCCAAGGCCAGCCAAATGGGCCGAGCGAAATGCTCATGAAGTGCCGCGGTTTGACGGGAACACCCCGTGTGGGCGAAATTTACCTGCCCATTCCCCACCCCGGTGACATGTGCTCCGGAGAGAAAATCAACAACCCGTACAAGTCCCGACAGAGATGGATGACAGATTCAAACCGAAGGGAATAAATATCAGAGTCGTTTGTTATAAGTGGGTCATATGGTGTAGCGTGTTACGTTAAAGTTACTGTCTCTCGGCTGGCGATCATCGGATTTGAGAAACAGCGAAACTCTATTTAACTTACTTGTGAATTTCCTGTGTTTCGCTTTTGACTGTAGCCTCCACCGCTCTCCACTGCGGCCATTTCACCCTGCTGCTGATCTGCGGAAGAAGAGTTTGTAAGATCACTTCTATTCAAAGTAGCTACATTTCAACCAGAGGACGATCCAACTAAGATAACGCTGGGTTCAACAATCTGGAGAAAACACACATATACACATGGTAGACCTCACGAAAATAACTAAACTTTAGGGAATGTTCTAATGTGAAGTAATTTAGAGAAATACGAAGAAATCCATGCCACAAGTGCTCAAAAGGGCCAGCTAGCATATTAGCTAAGCTAACTAGAAGTCAACACAACAAGTAATGTTCAGAACTGCTAAGTATTAGCTTAAGAGACCGACATAGTTTCAACTACATTACTCACTGTAACCTAGCTAGCTCAAGTGAATATGACAAACTTCAATTGATGTGGATGAATTGTGTGTGAATGAAGAACTAGAGTTACTGTTACACGGTTAGCTAAAAACCGACAATTAGCAGTTTAGTAGTTGGTCACTTTTAAACTGCTTGAGACGCGAGCTAGAAAACATTACAATATCATACTTTAACCGTAAATACATTTAAAACATGTATACTATTATTCTAATTCTAATTGCCGAATAATGCTTCGTTCACAACATTCCTCTGAGTTTAAAAAGTTCACTTACTGCTCATAATTTGAAGACGGGAGGAGTTTCTCTGCTCTTTTTTCGGGTTGACACAACTTTTCACAACTTCACACAAACTTGACGGACTCCCCTTATGAAGGAGAAAGACGGATGCGTTCGATTTAAACACCGGTGTAGCCCGACGCCTTCGTGGGGCACGAACACTGAGCGTCAGGCAGCAGATTGCTTTTTTATTGTGTAGCCTACTGTTAAACGTTGACATTATACTTTGACCATAAAGTTAAAGACTAATGCATGTAAACTACATTAATTTACATTTGGTTTTGATATAGCACTTCATTTAGAACGATCCTAGTTGATTTGCAGTCGGAGGTAATTAAAAGGTCCTTTTAACACACAATAGTGGAAATACCGGTTATCAGAACAGTTGACCACATGACCAAACCTTAACAGCATCACATTGTGAAAGGATATTTAAAAAAAGAAAGAACGTTATATCTTAAATTCTACTCAATTCTAATGCACGTTGGCATCTTTACTGTTTACTGTACTACTGCAATGGCCCTGTAGAGAAAAAGAAGCGCACCCCTCTGTGAGCTACTTGCGAAGGATTGTTGCTTTCCTCCAATGGAAAAAGTCGTTTTTGCCAACGAGCTTAAACAAACCAATGTGATTGGCCTAAAGCGGAGAATTGGGCGGGACAAAGCAAGGTAGGTTGTTCCCCTGAGCATGATTGACGTTTGGTTATCTGTTTTCCGCTTAAATGGCGCCATTTGTAAATAGGTTTACGCAAATATTGATATTTCCCGTTACTCCTTCTGTGATATTGTATTACCATTTAGCAGTGTAAGGATGCCATTGCTTATATTTTGCTTTGAACACGGAGGAGGGAAAGGAGGAAGGCGGACTGGGTATGTAAGTCTTGCCTCCGTGGCCACTGGCCGCGCCCTGTGGGCTGGGAAACAGCAAGGAGGCGGGAGGAGGCCGCCAGGGTGGAGGAGAAGAGACCCCATCACACTCAAACACTGGCTGTAGCCGCGCTGGGAGGAGAAAATGGCTCGCTTGTGGGAGGGCTTACATTTATTGGGATGTACGAGGGGGCTGTCAGTGAAGCAGCACATGTGCCCATGTAAACAGGACGGAGGGTGGAGTCCATCCTCAGGCCAAGCATGCATCCTCCAAACTGTCTGCAGTCAAACACACTGATGTTGCTACAGTTAGTGACAGGAATGACAATTTCTCTCTGATTTATATCAAGCAGAGACCCTTTCTAACAATGGGTTGTTTCAGTTAAGCAGCTTGCTGCAAGTGCACAATCCACTGACTCCCTTTTGAAGTGAAAGAAGTAACAATATCACAATATTAGTTAAAGTCCTACATTTCAAAGTATGGTATTATCATCATCCTGTAGCCTTTATATTTATTCGGGGGTCTGCAAGACAAAAAAAGAGAAAGAAAGATGGCCTACAACAATTATGGACATTTTTAGATAATAAAGAAAAGAAGCCCATATATACAACAAGAATAACATGGTAATGGTTGGGTTAATAACTGCAAGTCAGCACGAATGTCCACTGTTATAATCATAAAGGCTATTAGGCTATACTATAGCATTCATTATTACTGATGATTAACATTTTTGGGCATGTTATAAGAACTTTAAAGGCAGATATTTTGACCTTGAAAAGCACCATTGTTAGTGATAACATTAATAATGTTGCTCTCTCTGTAGCAAATCAGTGTGACAATGAGCCCGCATGTGAAAATACCAGGACCCTGAAACTAAAGCTGCATGAAATTCAGCGGTCATTCATTTTATGATTTACACACCTTTGCTTTTTAACTGTGCAATGTCAACATGTCTGAAGCCCTGCAAAGTAAAGAGAAACCTCAACTCTAAAATACATTGATTGGAGTAAAATGTCCTATAGTAAAGTAGAAGTGTAGAGTAACATCAAATAGAAAGAAATCAGTAACTTAAAACACGTCAAAATTGTACTTAAGCCTAGAGTAAATACTCTTTGCTACTTTTTCTACAGTAGAGTGAGCAAATTTACTTTAGTCTACCAATCTTCGTTTATCTTTATTAAAGAACAAAATGTTTTTCCATGTGCAATATTGCTTTCACCTTAAAATTCTGAATGACTTGCATTATACGTAAATTGGTGATAATGTGCGTTCCCCTCAGTAGAAAGAGAAAGCATACAGAAAGAAAGCTTATGTCCACCAAAATTAAAAACAAAACAAATTAAACATACAGTTTCCATATCTTGATGGACATCTAAAAAAACTATTGATAAAAACAGCATTTGGTATGCGAATAATAAAAAGTCACATGGTGTCAACGTTGTCTCACTTTCCAATAAACCATTGCTCACTAATTACTTCAGTAGGTCAACAATTAAAGAATAAACCATGGAGTAAATAGTTGTTAACATACTGTATCATCAGGCTAACAGAAGATATGCAATTTCTCTCTTAGCAAGAATGGGTAACATTTACAAAATAATTGATAATGATAAATGATCATTTAAAATGAGTCTAAATAGTTGTGGTCCAGATGTGTTCAAAAATCCATTGGAAGATGTGATGATGAACACCAGCCCAAACCTGGCAAATGATCAACATCATTTGTAGCTTATAATGGATCTTAAAACATGCAAATGCTTAATAACCTTTAATAAAGCAATTATTTAAAATCCTGTTAAAGTTATGTAATGCAGTAGCCTAATCACAAAACATGATTGTCACCTGCAGTGTTTCGTGATCTGATATTATGAGGTTATTTTTATGAACTACGTTGTTATAAGTATTATAACCACTTGTGTGGTCTTCCATAAACTGTGACATTTCTAAAAAACCTGTTCCGACTCTGAGTCTTTTTACTGCAGCTTTTTGCAGGATGTGTCAAAGCTGCATCCCACGCTGATAGAACTGTTGAGTTTCAGATGAGATGCAAAGTCACTTCCTACAGTCTGCTCGAACGCGCAAATTCAGCAACACATGCAGGCCAGCTGACAAGGACCACAACAATTAACACAAAACTGCACTGATGACTTTCACCGTAAAGTCATCAGTGAAACCCAAAGCAGGCTGGATGCAGTTTGAGGGTTTGCTAAAGATCGCAGATCAGTTTCAGGGATCTCAGCCTGCGACAACAGGAAACGAGAGAAAAAGCGCCACTGACACAACTGAAACCTGCCTCCATGAAGGTAAAGCTGCTTCTCTTCTCTCAACGTTGTTTTCTGTTCTTGCTCTGAATAATAACTTGGAAAACTCTCAGTAGGACTAGTCTACATCACCTGTCCATCGCTTATCTCATGGATCACAAAAAGGTATCAACTTAAAAGGCATAGGCCTACTCTTACTCAAAATACTATGATGCATGTTTTCTATGTGTCAAACTTGTGTATTTTTTAATGAGCTTGTTTGAATTATTACAAATAGATTTTCACATATGTATTCATTAACATGATGTTACCTTAATCTACTTTAAAAGTTTTAATTTAAATTGAATTGGCTTTATCTGTCATTCTGTGTTTATATCTGTGCCTACTTTACTGTTTGTCACTCATTGTAGATGGCCACTTTATATAAACTGTGATATGCAATTCATTTGAACACACTCAGACATTTTGGTATTTTATGATGAATAAATAATTCAATTGAATCATAGCTTAAACTTAAAAAATAAGAAGAAATGTCCCTTTCTGTTAATTGTCACAAGGCAAATATACTCTGAATTTAAAATGTATCTCTCTTGGAGCTGAATTTTTGATAAGTTGTTGACTACTAAATTAATTGCCAACTATTTTAATAATCAATTAATCGGTTTGAGTTCTAGGAAAGAAGTCAAAATTTACTTCTGTTATTATTTTTTCTATTTTTCTTTGAACTGACTATGTTTGAGTTGTGGAGAAAACAGGTAATAAGTACTCAACTAGTAAGTGATTCATTGTATTTATAGAGGTAGGTGATTCCCAGGGAGAAACAGACAGTTACAACACAATTATTCATACAAATGAGAATGCATTTATCGAGAAAATAATCAACAGATTAATCAACAAAGAAATGTATCGTTCATTGCAGCCTTAATCTCTTAACATATCCCTCGTAGATATCACACACGCATATTTTGGGGGTTTGGTGCCTTGCTCAGGGGCACCTCGCCAGTTCCCTATAGGGGAACTAGCACCTTTCCTTTTACCATTTTTGAAACAATGCTTTGAACATTAGGGCGTGTAGACATGCTCTTTGTATTACATTTTAGCACACTTTTTTCAACTATCGATTCCAATTTTTTTAATTTGAATGAAAACAATATTAATTTAAAAGCAAAAATGGAGCAATCTCTAAATTCTGACTTCTGGAGTTTTAGTATTGCACAATAATCCAAAAGGCCTGTCCAACCAAAAGACACATTTTATGAAGAAACATCCTGTTGATTACTTTACTGATAAATAATGTTTGAACAAAACACTCAACGTCATGGAGATTAGGTGTCAAACGTTTTAAGTGTTATCTTTTTAGTTCCTTGTTCTTCTTCCTGTCTAGCTTTGACCCCTCCATGTTCTGTCTGTGATCTGAGGCGATGGAGAGCCCACCCTCCACAGTGAGGCGGAGGGCCTGGATCAACAGCCGCCGGCAGCGCTCCACTCTGGAGCCGGACCCCGAGGGGCCGTTATGTACCCTCCCCTCGGCCTCTGTAGCCGCCGACGACGACGTCTTCTCTGATGGTGAGTCCAAACTGAGCAGGGTGTCATAGCTCTAAACAATTTGTTGATTTAGTTACAGCTAAACTGAGCTCAAGCATGCATATGATCAAGCATTCCAGGGAAGTAGTAGAAGATTGTGTGGGCCCATGTCACTTCTGCTTTTAATACATCAAATATAAGAAATTACCCGGTTGAAAATTGATTCACATAAAAAATGCTTCTTCTTATTTCCTTTCATAGAATATATTCCAAATTAGGTATGCATGTTAAAAAAGACAACTATAAAATAGAGTGAAATAATATGAAGAGTTGCTATTTTATCAGGATTTCCTGTAATGCTAAATGTTGTGATTTCCACAGGATGCTTTACTGGAAAGATCGAGAATTGGCTCCAGAGTTGTGGGTGAGTCATCTCGCTTTACTGTTTTTGTTTTTTTATATTGACATTTTTAGACTCAGGTGAAGGTGTCAGTCATTTGAAACCGGTTGAACCAAAAGTAAAGTAGAAAGTGGAAACTCTCTGAGGTCAGGTGTTCCAGGAAGACGTTGTAGAAAGGTAGCCACAGTATTGTTCTCACCACAATAGACTTAGTTGATGCATTTCTACTGTTCCACTTGGAAAAAAACAATCTTATTTTTAGTTTAAAACCATAATGTCAGAGTGCTCTGAATTGAGATTTATCAGTGTTAAATAACAAAGCCATGACATGATGCAGACAACATTTTAAGGCAATGTTGACCATGATTAAAAAATAATGACTATTGATGCAAACAAGTCCTTGAGTCTGGGTTTCACAAAAATACACAATTTGTGGTTTGGAGTAAGATTATTTTGTAACTAGACAAAAATAACAGTTCCTTATTTTCTGTTATGAAACTGAAGGAAGGATATCAGCCACACACACACATTGTTTCATGTCTCTTATTTCAATCACCAAGAAGGAAGCTGTTTGACACACTTTGTCACATATCTGACAGTGTCTAAAACGTGACTTACGCCAAAATAAGTAAAAGGAGTGGTTTATGCATTCTGAGAAGTCAACATGAAAATGACCAGATCTGTCGGGTGGAGACCATAACGCCGCTCAGCATGTCAACATGTCTGCAAGAGGAAGTTGACAAATGCCGGCCGCCTGTTGCGAGCTGAGCAGGGAGTCGATGTCACTGTGTTCTGTAGCTAGGCTGCTATCACACTCCACATTCCCTCTATGGAAATTCAGTGAATTATTTCACAGAAGAAGCATGCAAATTACACTGCCTGTGTATTCATGCATTATTGTTGGGATTTAAATTACAGGGCAGAGGCCTGCTCAGAGACCACGGATCAGCTGAGTTTTGGTGAGTATGACCTTAAACAAATGAATATCAATGTACCATTTATGGGAAAACATGTGTCCTTTGTTTGCAAATGTCACTAGTAAAAGTTTTATCAGTGATAGTTCAACTATAATTCAGAATTAAATGGCCTCTGATTGTTGTAATATTGTATTATTATAAGCATTTTACCGTTGTAGCTGGTTAACTGGAGATCATTTTATGATTGTATCTACTGTTGGGCAGTTGAAGTTATAAAAGTGATCATGTTTTGTTAATTTTGTAATTATAAAATCTTAATCAATCAGTATGTTGTAATGGAAATGGCCTATCACTATAGTGGAATAAAAAGTATAATATTTCCATTTGAATGCTAGTGACGTTAAAGTATAAAGTTACATTAAATGTAACTATTAAAACCTCAAATTTGTAAAGTACTTAGTAATATAAAACATTACACTATTGTAATATATGAGCAAGATTTCAAAACAGGAATTTGGCCGTTTGTGTAACTAGATGTTATTTTGGTTATTGACTGCTTTTTCTTCTAGACTCTGTGCTGAAAGCCAGGAAATGTGACGATGAACTCAATCTTGGTGCTGATGGTAAGTAGACACACACACACACACGGCGTGCATCATGTTTGTTTGTTTTCTTATAAAGCGTACATGTGTTCTACATATTTATGAAGATGCACAGTCAGATAAATGTCCAGAGTTACGCAGAATTGCTGTAACTCTGCCAAGGAGGATGTTTTTGTTTGAAGGGGAAGTATAGAGTTTTATTTCAGATGTTACCAAACTAAAAAAGAACACACAGTGTACTTACATTAGGAGTGTGCTGCTTTTATGCTTTTAAGTTCAAGATATGTATTGTGGCACAAAACAAATGTGACATGATACCCTATCTACTTAACATTAATATGACTCGGTCCTTTAGTGACTTTCTGGTACAATAACGTTTTTGATTTCTTAAGCAGCCTGTCCACATGATTAGTTACAAAGTGATGAATTGTGTGCTGTGATGTTAACCTAAATGTCAGGGTTAAATTGTGAAACCCTCGATATCAACATATTCCTTTTTAATCAAAATGTGTTTATTTTTTGTTTCAGCGTCTTTGTTAAATGGTGGCGAGATATCATCTAAAGCTTGGTAAGTAGCAGCTGTAGTATCAGGGACAATGAAACGACAAGAAAAGTGGACTGTCGCGCTAATTAATTAGTGAAGATTAGATAATGAGTATCCATGGTGCTTTAATCATTAAACGGACAGAGGTCATTCTGTATTTTTTATTTAATTTTCCTATTTTCTGCACAAGAACAACATAAAGGAGATTATTGTCTAAGATATTTCTCACATTTTAGTTAGTTTTAGATTATGAGCTACACCTCTATAAAACATGTATGTTCAGTTCAACACCCCCACCCTAACAACCGCTGTTTTCTTTCTTATTTTGCATACTGGGTCTGTTTCTATTGAAATGATCAAGAGGTGTGAATGAGAATGCTCTCATGCTCCATTGTATGGACTCTTTTTTTCAGTTTTGAAATATTATTTGAGACACGTTTGTGATACTGGGCTATAAAGATCTATTAAAATCTGACTATCTTTACTAAATAAACACTAGGTTAATAGACTTTTTTTTTAAACTTGTCCTCAATCTGCACTGACCATGAAGCCTCGCACAGCATCCTTCTTCCAAACCAGGTCCCGGCAGACTCACCAGGTCAGTGGAACATTTCTACCTCAATATAAACATATCAGAATATTAAGATATTATTAAGATTAATACTAGATGTCTTCTTCCAGAGCTCATAGGCAGGTCATATGAATTATAACATTACCCATGTCTTGTCCACAGTACCCCTCGTAAGGAACAATGTCTGCCGAAACTAAACTTGGGCCACAGCATGGCCTCCAGCTGCCTCTCCTCCTCATCGAGGTGAGACTTCTGAGGACCAATAACTCAGCACTTTGCTTTTGAATGGCTTAGTGAAGCTTTACAAATATATTTTACTCCTTAACGTCAATCTTTTTCATGCCTGTTTACACTTGAATATCACATTTACATATCATATTTATTCTATGTAATTTGATACTTTTCATTTATTGTTTTCATTTGTATTTAACGGCCCCATTTTAAAACATTTTCTAAAGCACTTTGTTACTCTCAATGAGAATTACACATGCACATACACAAATTTGCCTCAAAAGGCTTTACAAAATCCTTTTTACTGGGATATAACTTTATTTATCCTTTTTCCTCACATGCGCTCTAGTATCTCAGAGGTACTGCAGCTGTGTGCCGAGGATGCGGAGGAGACGCTGTACGAGCTGGGTTTTGGCTGTGACGAGCCTCAGGTCACTGTCCGCATCCCTCCTCGCTTCTTAAACTTTCCTTCTCCGTCTCGGGGCATCAACTTCCGGGTTTTCCTGGACTCTCAGATACGGCGGATACGAGAGGAAGACCCAAGCCTCTCTCTTGCTAGTAAGACCATTGAGTTATTAAATCACTGCTGTTGGTTATCTCTGTCACTCGATTGTATATTTGTGTTTGGCATGTGATAAGGTGAAGAAAGTCGTGGCAAATGACATCCATATAACTTGTTTTAATTTGCATTTTATTCCTACTACAGGTCGTTTCAGACAAGTGCAAGTCCTCACAGCAATGGCCAACGCTTTCTACTCCCTCTACTCTCACGTGTCCCGCACTCCTCTACAGAAACTGGCCACACCAGAGTTCACCTTCTCCTCGTCTCCTGTGGAGAAGATCGAGCGCTTCAGAGGCAGCATCCGCAGCGAGGTGCGCTCTCCGGTGGAGCGGCTGAAGGACACCGTCTCCAAGATGTGTCTCTACACAGGCTCTCCTCGAGGGTCAGACTCCACCTCTCCACAGCCCTCACCCAGGAAAAGGGCCAGCCTCCCTGATGTTGTGGATATAGTCCTGGAGAAACACAAGAGTGGGGCTACAAAGAAACTGGATTTGGGAGATTATGATAGGAGCAACTTGGATGTCAGGCTGTTTATGGATGGGGATACATCCTGTGACAGTGGGAAAGATGCGCAAACACAGCAGAGCATGGAGGATGAAGACATTCTTCAAAATGGAAATACAACCTGTCATAAGATGCAGGGCTGCAAACAAACAGATAATGTTGATGCAGATGAAAACAGTGTCAGAGCAGCAGACCTTGACAGCAGGACTCACAGTGTAACATCTCTAGCGTCATCAGTATCAGGAGAAACTGTGATAGAAACTGAGCTGGACTCATGTGCATCTCAAAGAGAGACTGGCACTGCTGATCTGAAACCAGTTGCCAAGTTGACGTACGATCTAATCTGCCCGCAGATAGTTGAGAGTGTACACCAGGCGCCTTTCTGCTGTCAACAGACAATTATTCCAAAAACAAACACTTGTATCTCCTCTGAGAAAGTAAGCATAGATGGATCTCATGAACCTGATATACAAATCTCTATCCCTGAGCCTGACACCAGACAGACTCATGCACCTGGATCGCTTCCTGTCCTGGCCCCCTACGGAGACCCCACCCAGTGCTGCATCACTGTGACGGGCTGGGAGGGGGGCGGCGTCTCTCCTCATTCCTCAAATGCAACAGATGCCGGTCATGCTTCTACTGTAATGCCTCTGCAGAAATGTGAGGAGTCATTTATCAAGGGGAGAAGCCGGCACCTGAATCCACTGACTCGTCACATCCGGGGGCACGACTCCAACCCCCTGCAACAGGTCAACTCCTTCGAGCTGGAGGAGGTACTGTCTCTTGAATAGAATATTTATTATTTTCAGAAAATTAAGTATTAAAAAGAAAAGTTACAACATTTCTTCAGATTAAAGGTCACCTATTGTGCAAAATCCACTTTTTCATGTCTTGTATACATAAACATGTGTCCCCTCTGTGGAAAGAGGTTCTGAAAGTTTCAGGAAAAAAGATTCTCTCACTTTTTGTCCTGATCCATTTATATAAAAACCTGTCTGAAAATGAGCTGATCAGATTTTGGCCACTTTATGATGTCATAACGTTTTTTTGGCTTGTGTAACCATTAGCCAATCAGCAACCAAGGTAACCCCCCCCCCCCCAACACAGTGTCACCTGAATCTCCTCCTAGAGCACCATTGTGTTCTTTTTAACCAAATATCTCTCAGAGGGGCGTGGGGAGTGGCTCCTTATTTTCATCTAAAGTAACAGACAGAGAATCAGCACTTTTGAAACAGGGCTGAAACAGAGGGGTTTATGGGATGCTGCAATGCATGATCTGTTTGGTATTTCAAGCCAAACACTTCAGAGACATATTTTGTATATAACAGAACTATAATATATTGATGAAAAACAGTATAATAGGGGACCTTTAAGTGTTTGTTGTATTTAAATTAGTTGTATTTATCAGAACATATGACAATTGCCATGGTCACTCAACTTTGCAACTGCATTGAATTATATCAAGCTAAAGGACATCATGTTTTAATCAGACAGATGAACTGTTTGTAAGATTATGAATGAAAAAATGAACACTGTTACAATACACAATATTGTTTTAGTGACATTGGATTAGTTATTGTACCACCATCAGACATTGTGATGTGGATAATAAAAGACATTGTTCAGCCCTAATAGTGTGTTTCATGGTATACATTCAGGAAATAATATTAACTGTATGCCTGTTGACTCTACAGGTGCATAGTGCAGGAGAGGAAGATTTTGTTGAATCTGAAACGACGACAACAACCCCCCTGTCGTCTAAAGGTATATTTATAATTATTTTGTGTGAATGGAATGTTTTTTTATACAAGCACAGGTCATAGGTAGGTCATTTATTAAACAGGAACAGGGAAACTAGATTTATCGGCATGAAGTCTGGCAACATTTTTTGTTGCTCAAGTTTTTTCACGGAAATGGACTAACAGGTAAAACATTTCAACATGGTAGTCATAAGAAGTGGTGTGTGGCAATTGTTGAACCCCATCCACAACTAAAACGGTTTTAATCATACACAGTTCAAACATTTCTAAACAGTAGATAAAGGAGTTAACACCAGATTTGTGGCAGAAAAATATTTCTTTGTGTAAACATACTGCTAAACTTCAATATTGTCACTGTAGATCTTTTAACGAGGTCCAACATGATGTGAGGAAACGAATAGCTTTCACAAGTCTATTGAAAAAGGACTTAAAATTCTAAGGAGCAAAAGCTGAGCTTGTGACACTTTGAACTTTGTCTCATTAGATATATTGTTTTGGGTCCTTACATTTGAGGGAATTGGGCATGTAAAGTCCTTATAAAGTCATGATATAGATAGTAAAATAAGATGTGAGAGCAATGAAAGCATGTGTGTATACATGTCGATGTGCAGGTGTTTTTGTCCCCTGGAACATACCGTTTGTGTGTGTGGATTCAGGTCAGACTGCAGCTGTTTTTGTGCAGTGGTTCACTGCATGGAGTTGTTGCCTGACTGTGTTTGTGTCCCTCCTCGTGTAGGTGAGATGGTCCGGGGCGACAGCATGCAGTCAGACAGCAGCGGCTATGCAGATGAAGAAGTTAGCCCCTCATCAAACACACATAACAGATGACGGAAAAAACTGAATTTCATCGAAACAAAGTTAAAATATTTTTTTTCTCACCTGTCGACTATTTCCTGCACCAAATGTTGTTTCTAAACAGAGGCTTAAGATGTGATGATTCTGGAAAAAACATAGTTACGTGAGAGAATCTTTTTCACAATAAGATTTCCGGACATGCAAATCATTAAGTTTCTCCCCAGTGCTCATACAGACTGTAAATAAGTAACAATAAAACGATTGTAGTTCAAAGGGTTTGATGAAATTCATTAATTGAATTAGGAATGGCAGCATGTTGAAGTTGTAAGAGCAACAGTTGGCAGTAAAATGTACAAAATGTTTTATTGGAAATAAGTCAATTTCACATGGATCTCACATTATATTTCATCGTTTAGCTAAAACTGGGCAACCTTTTCTTCTACAACAACAAAGAAGTTCTTCTCAAATGTAATGAGGTCAGTATAGACTTCAATGATGTGAGTACTAAAACTCACACAAAAACCGCACAAGTTCCTTATTTGAATGATCAGAAAACAAGATGCAGATCTGCCTTTTTTTCAGAGAATGAGGTTCACATGAACTGCACCGGTGGGAGGAGTAAGGAAACTGTGCAAAGGTCATTATCTTGTCAAGTAGTGCAAACTGTTCACTATACTCAATACTCATTCCAGCCGAGTGCAAGGCAGTATATCAAAACAAATACAGCAAGGTGCATGGTAATGAATCCTTTTACTAGACACAGCATGTAGTTGGAGAAGAATATTTCCAAATTCCACCATGATCAACTTTCCAATATCACAGGATTCATATTCCCATTGACAAAAAAAACTAAATCACAGTGGGTTTAAATGATAAATGAAACAGTGCCAGGCATGATGAGCAAAGACACATTTAAACTTAACAGAACAAAAATATTATAGCTTGTTTGACTGGTCTATGATATTGAAAATGACAAGCTTTGTCAGAGGACTTTGTACTTTGTAAGACAAGCAAAAGACTGTTTTAAAGAAGAGTCTTAAAGCTGAGGTAATTACACTTTACAAAACTGTTTGCACATCCAGGAGTAAATGGGACCAATGAGTAGATTGTGACGTAATTTCAATGTTGTAGAGAGATTTTTTAAAGTTTTCCTCACAATTAAAAGACACATTACTTTCTCTATTCCTGCTCCGGACCTAATAAATATGAGCCTTACTTTTTTAAGTTTAACTTTTCTTCCATCAATATGTTTCAGTCATACTGATCTTTCTCACCATTTCTATTTTAGGAACATGACTAGAAAGGTTTATTTGCCAAATTCAGTTGTTAAACAGAGATACTATGATACGTTTTCAATTTTCTAATCTTTAAGGCCCAACACGAGGAGCATCCAACTGTATTTTTAGAGCTGGATTGAATATACAACAAAGGCCACATCATCTCATTAAGTTCATCTGAAAACAGGGCTGCCTTCAAAATTATTATCCCCTGATATTTTAGAGTCCTTTTCTCTCCATGTTTCCATGTTCTCTTCCATTCACCAACCAATGATTGTGGTTTTAACGCAGCACCAGTATTTGGTCATTCCATCACCCAGTTTCAACTCCATTTGCATTGTTTGTGAAATCAGAATATATCTGCAGGTATTAAGGAACTTGTATGTATGTATGCAACAGGTGTCACTTTAGATAAAGACTTTTTAGACTTGAGCTTTTTAGGGAAATAGAGTGCCGAGTATGGATGCTGGGCAAACCAAAGAAAATACCAAAAAAGCATTAAAATTAAAATAATTTCTGACAGATATGCAAAATGTCAAAGAGAGAGGTATGAGTTTTTGGGCAGCTATATCTTCATTGGCAACGATGAGAAATCCACGTGACCAAAAAATGTCCTTGGGGTTAATTTGGGGACAGAAAAAAGTATCTTATATAATCCACAATTGAGGTAATTCACGTTATTTGAACTCATCACAAAAGTGCCGTCGTGTGGTGATGAGTTCGAGTCTGTGAGGAGGAAGACGACATCACTTTCCCCCGGCCATAATTTTGAGGTACTGCAGTGCATTGTGGGCTGCATTGGCTCGGGCTGCATCTATGCTCTGAGCGAAGCCATGGCACACTGTGATTGGCTGAGTGGAAAGCTCCACTAGACACTGGCACAGGCCGCTCAGACTGCGCTCTTCTGAAACAAAAACGCAAATAAAAAGGAGGTTAAGTCAAGTATTTTTAAAAGATACATTTTCTAAAACAAGATTTTGAATCAGATATTTTTACAACGTCAATGCTGCTTTAGGTTAAAAGACAGAATTTCTCGTCAAAGGTGATGCTCCACATCTGATAAGAACACTAGGGCTGCACTACAGTATATTTCAGTTGCATTTCATTGAGATATATTCAGTTCTTCATTATAAGTGTGATTAGGTATTTCAGTTACAACCCTTAGTTACTAAATATGTCACTGACCAAATGTATAACGTAATAATAACAAAACCCAGAAACTAGCTTTACTTTAGATAGGGTCTCATACTTTTTGTATTTGATCATCACATACTCTGAAATCAAGTATTCAACTACAACTACTGATTTTTTCCCCCCATCAGCTTAACATTCTTGTCCTTCTGTGAAGCGCTGTACACAGATGAAAATGTCTCACCGGTAAAAACTGTGACAACATGCAGCTGAGGGTTACTTCCTCTATATCTGATGGCAGTAATAGTAACCACACAGGATCACTATGTTCCCATAATGCTCGGCAAGTCTTAGTTTGTGCAGATGGTGTTATCATATGCAGTTAGCTCAACAAATTCATTATGTTTATGCTCCTTACTAAAATGCAACTTTAAATGCATACACACAACTACCCGGTGAATAGACTCCACATTTTTTTTTATAACCTTTCAGTGTTAAACTTATTGTAGTCTTCCACTTTAGTCACACTGTGGTGCTTGGAAGAATGTATAATGATCCACTGCTTGGGAACTCACCTAGATCCAGGTAGCTGATGTCGAAGCACTGCTCCAGAGACAGGTCGTTGAGCAGAGAGCAGAAGTTGGAGTCAGTGGGCATGCCCAGAGGGTGGCTGCGGAGCTGGAGGATCTTCTCTCCAGCAGAGTTACGCAGAGAGTCCCACGTGCAGCCGAAGCCTTTACTTTTGCCCGTATCAGCTTTGCTCCCCATGTGCTGTGTGTGCAGGTGGAAGTTCATAGTAGTTAATAAACACTATTAAGATGTATGAGCAGTAAGGAAAAGGGGGGATGGGATGCATGTCTTACTGTGTTCTGCGTCACAATGAAAGATTCATAACTGTAAATTGAAGACATTGGTAAGCACAAATACAATATTAACATGTTATGCAAGGGATCCTGTGGATTCTTTCCTGCAAAGGTTTTCACAAACTTTGACAAATGGGGCACGGAGAAAGTTTATTTCTCACCATGTTGAACGTGTCCTCTTCGACCTCAACTTCGTTGGTGGTCCTCAGGTCGACCGGGACATCGTGTATACGCGATAACATCTTAGCCGCTGCGTTTCTCTTTGCGAGCTTCTTGGAGGTTCCACTTCCTATAAAAGGAACAGGAGATTGATTAATGTTGAGTAATCTATTACAGGCAGCTGTAGGCTGTGCCAATGCCTGGTAACGCTCTTGTAATGCATGTGTTGCAAGTAAAGGTCAATGAAGGTCAGTAGTTACTCTACCACCCTGTAAAAGGCTGCACGTTTGCTTTTCTTTAATTTCAATTTCAGTTCTCTGTCAGTTCACTCACAAGTGCTTAAATAAATGTTTCATCATTGAGGATGTCCACACTGACTCAGGGTTTGCATTGCATGTTAACAACAATGTTTATATTGCTGAAAGTTGATTTAATCTAAGAGGCAGAGCCTTTTAACATACACAGAACAATCTCAAACAATGACACATTGTGCATATTACCGATTTCCACAAATCTCTCGACTCTGCAGGTCATGGTGAACTCCTTGCGGTGTGCTGGACCAGACTCCTGGGTGACGGTGTACTCTGGCAAACGCCATCCTTTCTGCACCACCAATTCCTGGCAGAGATGTAAACTCGTACATTACTCATGAAAACAAAAAGGCATGCAACTATATCGGAAGTTTTTCACAATTGAAAACCTTAAACTACAGGAGTTATCCGTGTGTATTCACCTGCAGAGCTCCAACAGGGTTACACTCAGACTGCTGAGAAGTGCTTGATGTCTTCATCTCTGCCTGAGGGCTGTTCAGAAGATAAGGGAAGTCACGAAACCACACAGACATCTATCTTAAATTCACTCAATTCTTAGAACACTGAGATGTTTTATCAGCTGATGTTAACATTCAAAGATTCAAAGGTTTTATTGTCATATGCACATAAGCTACAGTGTAGAAATGGCAATGAAAATCTTATGACCCGAGCTCCTCCAACGATGCAACATATATAATAAAATACAAAATAACAAATAAAATAAAACATAGTGCAAGAAGTCTATATACATGTAAATTGAATATGTTATATACAAGAACAGAATGTGAAATTAAATATTGTACATTAAGACAAAATTAAATACGGTTTATTGCGGTGATAACTATTTAGATAAATAAGTAGATGACAAACAGATGAATGTTTATCGAGGCATTTAACAGAGCTCAGGTGTTTAGCAGTCTTATGGCCTGTGGGATAAAACTGTCTGGTGGTTTTACTCCGTATCTATGTATAATTTTAACTAAAAAGTAAGTGCAAAGAAATAAACAACTTGAAAAGAAACTGACCTCTCTACATCCGTGGACACTTTTACTCCAATAAACCCTTCTTCTCCAACACCCAGTCCGACGGGATTTCCGAGACTTGCCTTGAGCATCTTCAGAGCAGCCTCGGCTGCTTTGTGCTTGGCTGCCTTCTTGCTGGGCCCTTGGCCGGTGCAGCTGATCTCTCCGACGGAGACGCGGAACGTGAAGTTGGGCTGGTGGGCCTGTCCCTCAGCCTTCAGCAGGTCATACACTGGGGTCTTGCCTATCTGCGTTCCATACTCCTGCAGCAGACTGATGGGCGTCTTTCCGGGACTCACAGCCAGCATTTGCTCAATACTTAACAAAAGAAAAAGCCAGCATTAGATGGACTGTTAAGCAACTGTTGATTCAATTTGGAAAGGGCGTTAGAAAATGGTGTCGATCATACCTTTCAAGAAACGCTTATTAGCATGCATTGTATAATTCAGAAATGTCCTGATGATTTCACATTCATTTAGTTGAGTGCTGTCATTTTTGCACTTAGGCTAGTCTAACTGAAGATTAACTCACCCAAATTACAAAAGGCTTTCAGGTATCCAAGCTAATATAAAACAATTCCTTTTCAAAATACATTGACGTTGCAGTAATGCCAGAAACAATGTCCAGCTTACACAAATTGATTCAACTTACTGAATGTAACCATTACCTCAAATTGTGGCAATGGATATCTCAGCATCGCAACTGTAAATCTAAAGTCAATAAAATAAAAAACAACAACATCATGACTACATATAATGACGACCGGTTTTAGGTGAGGTTACACAAATATTTCAAGTTTGTCCGGTCAGCTCCAACATGGTTGCAAGTACACTCAATAACCAGTTTATTAGATACACCTACTGTAGCTAAAACTCATGCAGTCTAACACAACAGTACTTTAATACTACCTTCGTTCAGTTTGGGTGAGCTTGAGCTCATTTTGTTTGATGCAGGATGTGGTTTGTCAGAATTGTGTTGTGTTATATTCACAGGTGATGTTTTACTTTTATAAAGGAGGGCAGGCTAAATAAGTGCTAAGGAAGTTGCTGTAACTTGGGACTAATAGCATGGTCTCTAGATACAACAAGCAAATATGTATTACATAAATGAGTAGAGATTTAATTAATGACCAAAAAGGGTCACGTATGTTTTGATAGGAGATGCACCATCAATGACAGTAAACTCAGGGGGGCAACAGGATCTATTTCAATCACACATTTGGCACCTTATTTTGTAGCTAGCGGAGTATAATCCATTTTAACGAAATGTCGATGTGTTTTCAGAATTTAAAACAGTAGCGTTGTTGTGGCAGACACTCAGAAAATATGTCAATAAAAGTGTCTATGTATCAGACTGCCCCCCGCTAGCCACAGTGCTATGCTAGCTTAGCTGCACACCTGGAGCACCCGGAGTTTGTCTTCCAGCTGTCCGGTGCTGTCTCGTCGTTCATTCCCTATTTCACGCAGACCGGTACCGGATGGTTAATCCCCCCCACCAAAACAGACACTCGGTTTCATTAGACGGTATGCTCCCCAACAGAGACATGTGAAGAGCAGACCCCTCCACTCCTCCGACAGATAGCAGCGGAGCACAGTTATGACGTGTGACACAAAACTCGATTTCTCATTGGTCCGTGGGCGCTTTGGGTTGGTTCGTTTTGCACACCGGAAAACACCGACATGGTTGTAGTTTTTCAGTTTGCGAGGCTAAAGTTAAATATAACCTCGTTTCATCCGCTTTCATCACAACAGAAACAGGTGAATAGTCACTTGCACTTCACAAACGGGAAAATGTAGTTTGCAGTTGCAGGACAAAGTATAAACATTACATCAAAAGTAGAATTCGTCCATTCCAAATTGTGCAAAAAGTACAACCAAGTTATAATCATGGATGTTCTCTGATAAATCCATGGTCCTAGCTTGCACGCACCTTGCTAAATTCAGTTAAATTAGCTTCACTAATGTAAAGTCATTACCAAGGGAAAAATGCTTCCCTTCACGGTTTTATTAACGTCAGTGCAAGAACTACCAATGAGAAAACAAAATGAACGTACTTTGTGAGTGTAACGGATGTTTTTTTCGCAGCTAACGTTAGCTAGCCACCAGATTAGCATCTTCAAACTGCTGCTCTCAAGACAACTGCGTTGGAAGCTAAAGTACCAGAAGTATTCAAGTAAGTGCCAGTACCAACTGTACCTGTATACATGTTAGTTGTTTTCTGCATCGTTTTTGTTCTGCGTGTCAGCAAGTCATCATCCTATAATTTAATAATGGTTTCTGCTTGGATGGCCAGTTGAGCCGAACGGTAAATTAAAGGCTACAGCGATGAAGATTTGTTTGGGTCCACAACTTTCTGCATGCTGCTGGCTCTCGGTGCAGTAACTTGTTATAACTGATAGTCACCATAAGAGGGCGCCAGTCAGTCACTGGTCTGCACATCCGACAAGCTTCTCTATCGGGGCTTCGTCAGTACTTTGGGACGCCTTTTTTGAGTATAGTTTTTTTATTAAAAAATGATACCCACAATAAATCTAAATATTCCAACTTCTGTTTGAATGTAATCATAAAGATCTTCTAAATACACCATTGGGACAGCTACTTCCCAATAGAAAGTAAAGTACTACCCTATAAATGATGTTTTTGTATATATTAAGCTTATCACTATCTAATTTAATGCCTTGTGTTTAAATAGACCATAACATATTGTTAGTAAATATCTATGTCTGAATACTTAATTGTTTTGTTAAATATTTGTTCTTGTTGTGGGACCGCACTTTGTACTAATTCGGTAGAATTCCCCATATAGCCTGCACGGCACGACCACACTTTCCACTTTAGTGTCTGTGTTGTGTGTGGAGGAGTTGGAATGTTGCATTTATTTAAATATAAATAGAAAACGTTTAAGGACCGTCAACTTACATTTTGGTGGTTTCCTTGCTTATTTTGGATCCCTTTGCTTTGGTGAATATTCCCAGAGCTGTCGTGCAGACCCCTTTGGACCTGAGGTTCAGAACCTCCTGCCCCAACTATAGCAAACTTCCATAAAATATTTCAGTATTTTCCACCTTTCCATCTTTTCCTTTATTTCTGTGGCTTGAAAATTAATCCCATGATGGTTTGCTCGTAAACCCCTGCTGGCCACCATTGAAATAGAGCTTGGGGTTCTGATGGCTTCATTCACTGGCATCAGCGTTTCAGTGTGGATAAGCACATTTTGCCAAGTGTAACACAAAGTGAACTGGCCATAACAATCAGTGAAGTCAGCTCCGATTTAAACTCCCTGACCTTCAATCAAAGCCCCATGATTCATGTGTGACCAGTGTAACCCCTCATGCTCATTTTTCATACTTTCAGTGTTCATTCTCCTTGATTGCTGGGCCTTTGATTTGTCAATTAAACGGCCAAATATATTGACCTATAATGTGATATCTAAGTGTTTTTATTGAGCTTGTGGTTGAATGAGATCAGAAATGAATACCATCTTAGCAGCTAATGTACATCCAAAATGTATTCACACATTGACACACACATCCACAAACACACTTTTCTTTTCCTTGTCTTGGCCTGGCACATTAGTATGTGTGGTTCTTTAGTTGCCAAAATCATCAGTAAATATCTTCAAGCATGGAGCTGTATGAATGCTCTTTTTCCCTCCTTCCACAATATGATGTGTTTCCTTTTTTGTGTGTGTTTTGATCCCTCTCTTGCGGCCAAGCTGTGCTGTGGTGAGGCGCGGGTTCGAGTGGCGCTCCTGTGTTATTTTTGGCAGCAGCAGTGGTTGGTGGCTGTTGAGGAGAGAGGAGACAGGAGGGGGATAGCATAAAGCCCAAAAACCGAGGCTGTTTAAAGAATTTCTGTCTGAAGAAATTGCTTTGTAATGATCAGAAACTCATTATGGATGTGTGCACCCATACACAAATAGAGAGAGACTGGCATGCACATTTATTCATTTAGCACTTCACAAACACCTCATATACATGTTCTCATTCGTAGACCACACACTCAGAGTTGCTAAATTGCTTTACATGTGAAATGCTTAGTTTAATATAGACTCAACACCATCCATGTATAATGGAGCCGATATTCATTTCTACCAGCAAGTTTAAATGTTAGGCTTTATTTATTTTTCTCTGTCACACTGTTCCTGTCACATCACATGGGAACTATTTCTTGTTTGTCAGACACTTTGGTAATTCTCTCTCTCCTCTGTGGGAGTCAGTCCGAGACATGCTGCCCGCTCAGGCATCATGCAGTGTCAGACATTCACGCTCCTCCCTCTACACTTCTGAAAACACCATTTGAAAAATATTTTCTCCAACTCTATTCTTGGCCACAGATCAAGAGAACATTATTACTCTGCTTTATTTATTTATATATTGTGGTGTGTGAATGTGTGTGAATGTATGTGCGTGTTTGTAGGCCTCAGTGTGTGTGTGTGTGCATGTGTGTGTGTGTGTGTGTGTGTGTCAGGGGGGTGAGTGATATGTAATTGTGTATCTATGTGTGTTAACCCACAAAGATATTTCAATTTCTTCAGAATATTAAATAAACATGCAGCAGCAGCTTCAGTGAAGCGCTGCCTGCCAGTGGGTTTTTGGTTGGATGGGTGGCGGTGCTGGTGGTGAAGGGAGAGAGGGGGTTTGTGGCCGTGGCTCTGGGGGGGTGAGGCAGCTCATGGTCGGGGCCTCCGCCGGACACACTGGCGCCTCGCGCTGGAGGACTTCTGAACCACCACACTCCTCCACCAAAACCCTGCCAACCCTGGTTCCCTGCTCCCGCTTCCAACCCAAATCACTCCGTCCTCTTTCTGCATTTTGACTCTCTCCCCCTCTCTCTCTTTCTCTCTGTCTGTCTTAGTGTCTCTCTCTCTTCTCCCTCCTTCCTCCCTGACTCTTTTTCCTTCTATAGTTTCCTCATTCAGTTGATCCAAATCCAGATTAATTTGCTATTTGGCTGCCTTCTCTTTTCACTTACCGCTGTACTTTTAGTGGCAGGTCTATCTGATTGTGTTTTCTCTACCTTTTTTCCTGAGGTTTTTTTTTGTGTTTTTTTAATCCACCACTCCTTTTCTGCTCTGCCTTTCTTAAATCCCTTCACTTAAAATGTCCCAAGGAAGCATTTAGTGGCTTGCAATACGCAAACAAAAATGGTTTGGGCTGTACGTCAGTCAAAATTCTATCATGTCATCAAGATAGTAAGCATTTTTAAAACGAAGGAACCCTTGCATGGGTGCTCTGGATATTTGTAAGGATATTATGTTGCAATTTTCCAACCATCCCCATGAGATAAAGAGTTATTCCTCTTGTCAACAAAAAAAAAGATGTTCCATTGTGGTCAAAATGAAGTGAATCACCAGCTTTACGTCATGTGCTCTCACTATAGATCCCCTCAAGTTACCTTACAATGAAAATCAAATTAATCATTTGTTGTCATAATGTGAATGCACATTATTATGACATGTTAAGAAACACTTTTGATCAATGATGAAGGGCCAAAGCATTTACTTTATTCATACCTTATGGGCCAATGTGGTTATTCAAAAAAACAACTAACTTCACCTACTGCTGTGTTTAATTGAATTATGGATGTCAAACATCTTAAGTAGAGTGGATATGTCTTTACGTGTCACACATGCAATTTTCTTAACTTCATTTCCCCCTGGAAGCAATTTGTCATCCGGAGGCCATTAAATGGGAAGCATATTATCTTTTTAAAGGGGCATAGAGTCACCCACAACCCTCCCACAGTTCCTATAAACAAAATGGCCTCATTTAGCGCCGCATTTGGAGCATCGGGCAGCAGGGGAGGACTCCCTTTAAACTTTAAAGGCAGTTCAGGGCTATAAAAAGTTGTGACATTGTTTGATTTGAGTTTGAAATATGAAAAGCACTTTAATTTGATGAGGCAAGTCACACAGACTTCTGTTTGATCTGTCAAAAGTGGGAGAGGGTGGTCTAACCTCCGTCGCCACTGTAATAATGACTTGGTGAGGAGAGATCGGAAGCACTACTGCAAGGATTGATGTTATTGCATCAGCTGGACTCAATTTCAAATTACTGAGTCACATCTATTGTACTTACTTAAAATGATGTTGTTTCTTTTCCTGACAAATGTAAATGATGGCAAAAAGTGATAAGCAATGTAGACATCTGCATGGTAGCCTGACCTTTTTACCTCTTGCCCCTCTCTCTTATCTGTTGTGTTTTCCTCTTGAACCGTTTTTATTTGTCCTGACCTCTCCTTGTCTTCAGGTCATGTTATGGTCCACTCAGGTTGATTTACCTTTCCCCTTTGCGAAAAACCCTTATCTTGTTTTTACTTATGGCCTAAATGCTGAGCCTCTGGGCGCGCTGACATTCTTTTCCCTCTTTCTCCCCCGCGTTACCACAGAGACCCAGTCACACCTGCAAACACCTGTGCTTTTGTCCTGCCCCGTGCCTCCCCCATGAACCCCCCCCGCCCTGCTTCCCCCCCTGCCTGTGGCTATGTCAGATCACAGTCCCATTGTTTTACTTGACTATTCAGTTAGGACCAGATAATAACAGGAAAAGAAGAATCATTAGCATATTCCTCCGCGCATCATGATGAGTTGTTATCTCACTTAAAACAGCTGGAGTCTCTGAAGGTTGAAACTCCCTGGAGTAATTCATTAAGCAAAATAGTTCATGTATCATCAAGTCTTATGGTTAAACTTAACGATGCCTGAGTGAATGTTTTAAAATTGCTCCTTCGTGTTAGTTAGGTCGGAAATGGGCTGTGTGATGGTTTTAACTTGTGTGTCTGGGATCCTCCAGAATAACATTTTTAGTCCTAACAAGTCTGTGTGTTTTTTTTGTAAATGGAGTACAGGGGCACGAGTGGGCAAGCCATATGGAACCGATTGTCCAGCTTCTTCTTTTGCCCCTGTGTTACTGCATGTATATTTTTCTTTGTATGACCTTATTTGAAGCGACACTTAATGTTTCCTGGCTTTCTAAATAAAGAAGTAAAAATAAAGTTAGGGCTACAGTAGGCCACCACCACTGCTGAGGGAATGTACTTTTAAAGGCAGAAACTACCAGTAGCAGGAGAGGTTTTCAAAGCCACTGACCGTCTTCTAAACCCCCCCCCACCCCACCCTTACTCGCTGGCCTGCCACACCCTACCATACCCCAATCCCCCTGTTTGACTTTTATGTTGTGGACTTGACCGTGCGCCCACTTCAGACCACCATAAACATGTCGGTCCCTGATGACAGAGTCGGCCCCGGGACGTTTTATATAAATTGACCTCAACTACAGCTCATTAGATGCCCTAAATTGGAACCATGCAGCCTGGGAAGTGTACATGTTACAGCAGGAGAGCCAGTATCTTCAGGGGGGTTCCAGCTGTACAGGTCTGCACTGCTGTGATGAAACTCTTCACTTTTATGTCTTCAAAAAAGTGACCTTTTAACAACAGATGAAGTCATGTTCTGAAGAATGTTGGGGAGAAGGATTTTTATCATATTTATGAGATTGTTTTATCCTCTCTTCAACAATCATCTGTTTTCCACTTTAGTTATAAACATATTTGAAAGATGAACTCTTTGAATAATTGTTTGTCTGGTGATATATCACACAGCACATGTGTTGTCGGCTTCATTTAGTCTTTCCTGAGGCTATCGCTCTTTCAATGCAGAGCGGGAAATCCACCCACCTCAAGTGTTTGTATTAGTCTGCAATATAACCTGAATGACCGGACTGGAGTCCACTTGTCGGGACTTGTACTTACTTTAATGTCATCTACAGTGCAGCATGATGTTTTTAAGGACTACAATTGACTTGGTGGTAAGCTCAGCTTCTCCTCTGCTTTCGTATCTCTACATCACGTCTTTCGTCCTGCATCCTGCTTTAATTGGGGTCCTTTGTTTGACCGTCTCCCTCAATAAACAATACAACCACAGCTCCCCTGTCCTAATCCCCTCTACTCCTCTCTCCTGATTCTGCTGGAGCATCGCTCTCAGTAATTACCCCTCTCGGGCTGGAGAGCGGAGTAATTGTCTTGAGTGTAACTACAGTGGCTCTCTGAAAGGGGGTCATTGTGTGGAGTTAAGACTTCACTTCAGTGGACGGCTTTGTTTGTGCTGCAAAAGATAATGAAAGTATTTGGTTGGCCATGGTGAGGTGGAAATATAGTAAGATATGAAAAGAATGACAGTGATTGAGGAGAGGAGGGGATGAGGTGTGGAGGAGTGAGCTTCATGCTTGAGGAGCTACTTTTTTAAAGGTTTTACTCTTTAAAACACCTTAACATATGAATAAAAACAGAGGAGAAAATGTTTTTTGGAAATGTCTTTACTTTTTAAAGCACCAAAATCGTCATGGTTCCACACCACAACTTTTACAACATGTTAACCTTTACGAGGGTTAAAGCTTTATCACTATTACCGGTCTTACACTCATTTCACAACAAATCAGAAAACAGTGGTAGTTCAATTTTACAATGAGCAGAATCATAAATGACAAATTAGCATTAATGTTTATGTTTTGTATACTTTAGGGATTCATTGTGGAAAGTTACACAAAATATAGAAAAAACATAAAAAGTAGAAAAATAACACACCTAACAATATCTATATATTTTTGTAAATATATAGTTTATGTTAAAAAGTAGAAACCCTTTTTTAGTTACTTTGCCAGGTGTGGAATATTTCAAAATTAAAAGATTATACAGAAATAGTTTACACGCACATCTAACTTCAAGATCTATAAATAAATCTTTAAAAACATAACCCCAAACTCAATGTTATCGCTAATAAATAAGAAAAAAAGTCTTAATTTAATGCATTTTCTTCTCTTTTTGGCCAGCTTTAACCATCTTGCGTTATTTCAGGCATTATATTTCCCGCAGGGTGCAGGATAAGATAATCTTTCATGTGTATAATTTAAGACATAAATTAGATTGTTTATGTAAATATGAAATTAAATTAGACATATTATGAAGCAAACAAAAGAGAAATGAAAACCTTTTACATCAGAAAATCTTTGGCAACAAGAAGAACAAGAAGAAAGTCTGTTCATTGATTGTTTCAAGAATAATGAATAAGTATCAAAGTACAGCTGTAAATCAGATTTTTCTCTAGGCATGCAATACTCCATCAGCTCCATCATCCTAACCATAAGTCTCCTTTTAAAACTACTTTCCTTTTGCGGCTTCAGAGCTCTTTTCCTTCTGCTCTCGCAGATTAAATTTCCCTAGTGGTTTGTCTCATTTGAAAGGCAGAAAATGTGTGCATGAGTGTGTTTACTTGTGTGTGTATGTGTGCGTGTGTGCATATATACTGTATATGCATTATATATGCCGGCACATTTGCTCATAGTTAATTTTGTGTATGTGCACATATACATGTTATACGGGTTTCAATATACGTCATGGCTTGGTTTCTTATATTTCTGTGTATCTGTGTCTGCCTGCATTGGTGTTTGTTTACAGGCTTGCTCATATTCTTATGTATGTGTGTGGTACAGAGAAAATGAAGTGATTGCTACCTGTTACATGCTCAGTCATTTATCATATCAAGTCTTTTCAAACATATCCTTTGAATGTCTTGAAACAAAATACTGTCTTTTCTTTTAATTTAAAAGGTGATTTATTTTCCACCATTAAAGACAAGTACACCAAGGCTTAATGAAGTCAGATCTCCAACAGTCCACTGCTGTTCTCCACTCCATTAGGTGTGCCAGTCTTCTCCTCTCCGTTGCTGATCTGGTCAACGACAGTATTGGCGGGTACGGCGCTGGTGTTGAGCTCTGTGGTCTCCTCGCTCCGAGGGTCTGTCTCTCCCTCCCCAGCTACAGCTTTTCCCTGCATTGCAGAATCTGCATGGGTCTTCTGGTGCTTGGAGAGGTGGTCGCTGCGTGTGAAACGCTTGTTGCACAGTAGACATGTGAACTTCTTCTCTCGTGTGTGGGTGCGCACGTGCCTCTCCAGTTCGTCCGAGCGGGTGAAGCGCTTCCCGCAGAACAGCCAGTTGCAAACAAAGGGCCGCTCACCAGTGTGCCAGCGCAGATGGGCTTTGAGGTGGGACGCCTTGCCGTAGACCTTTCCACAGCCCGGGATGTGGCAGCTGTGGACAGGCTTCTTCCTCAGGGATGCAGCCGAGGCCCCGAGCCGCTCCAGCTCCTGGCAATTGGGGCAGTCACATGAGGACCTGGTGGGGGCTCCCCCTCCACTATAGCCCCCTGATCCCCTCGCAGGTTTTAGACCCATGGGATTCTCAATCATCCCTGAGCTCTGCACAGGCTTGGGCTTGTACATGTCCTGGGGCAGCATGTGCTGAGAGGGCTGGAGGAGGTGTGAGGAGGAGCTCAGCCCCACAGAGGAGTACTGAGCTGGGTTGAGTTGTGTAAAGTCGGTGCTGTAACTGGACAACTGCGGGCTGAGGGAGGCCTGAGGGGCCACAGGCTGCAGGGAGGCCTGGAGACCGCCGTCTGCCTGGTTCTGAGATGATGACAGCCAGTTGGAGTTGGGGTGGACATCCCACCAGGAGGATGTGGCATTAGCTGGAGCAGCAGTAATGCCAGGGTGGACACCTGCTTTGTACCAAGAGCCATAGGGGTGTGTCATATCCAGCGAGGTATAGACACTGGTGAGGCAGTCGACCGTAGCGTGGGCCTTGGACACTAAAAGAGACGGATCCTGGGAGATGGAGGTTTGGAAGGAGTGGGAGAAAGGGTTATACTCTGAAGTGTAGCCTCCGGCAGATTGAGGGGGGCTGCCAGTGGGGGTAAGCAACCCGCTTCCTCCTCCTCCTCCTGCTGTGGTGAAGGAGCCAGTGTAGGAGTCCGCCAGGCCGCTGCCGTCTGCGGTGCGCCCGTTCTTAGATGACTGAAGGTCAGAGGTCATGATGTAATGCTTCTTTACTGGAGTAGCGCTGCCGAGCTTACCGGGTGTAGCTGAATCCCTGATGGGGCTTGTGCTGCCGAACTTGTTACAGGTAGCAGTTAACATAGCCAGAGGACTGGAGCCATAGCGTGCGTCTTCCTGGGAGGAGGAGACAAGGGAGAACATGAGACTGTCTGCCGGCAGGAAATGGCTGCTTGCTGCTTCTGTCAGTGTCAACTCTAATAAAAAACTTATGTCAGACTGCCACCGCTGGCTTTTCCTCTCCCCCCGTTTCCAAAGTGGTATGGGAAATTTCAAGCAGTGAATGTTTATGCTTGTATAGGTTCTGCTCTGCTCAGCAAAGGAGGAATTCCCTTACTCTTTTGTTTCGCTTAAACCACAAGCTTTTCTAAATTTGGCATTCATGTTTGCTTTAAACATTTTCTTCACCTTTTCTATTGGTCTCCATCATACATAAACTTACATTGTTTACTTTGTGTATGTGCTTGATTATTATTCTCTGTAACTGTGTGTATCTTTTCAAACGTGTTTTTTTCTCTCCTGTAGTCACAATGGCATTGAAAACAAGCTAATAATAGTGTTACAACCCGTTTTACCATTGTTCTTTAAAATGTCTTACACATTCTCTTAATTGATCATAATGTTGATTGTCTGTATGCGTTTTCTTGTAAGGATTCAGAATCTTCATTGGTCCATAAGATCATTTTTTAAGTGAACTAATTATTTGGTATACCTGACTAAAACTCACTACTAAAGGAATTTCACTTTACAATACAATGTGTAATACATAATAGTCATCTCTCTATTATATAGTATATAGTATTTCCCTTTTCATGTGGAACATAATAAACACAATAGCACAAGATAACAGAGGCCTGTGTTTATAATGCTGACACACTGTACACGTGGATATCCTGACATTTGAAAAATCCCTATTATATTCCTGTTCCTATCTTTACATAATGCCATGTGGAGTTTACTGATGTTATTTTATACTCATTGCGTGCTACATGCTGTGGTATAAATATAAAACCGTTGCGATAATCCTTTAGGGATTAAACGTGTTGTGAAGTTGTCATAAATCTAGTCGCATTAAGCTCTTTTTAATCCCGGCCAATAACTTTGAATAAGTGTGAATAGAATATTATAGTCTTAAAGATATCTTTTGATTCAGACTGCCTCTTCATTCAGGGCTGATTAGTGGTTATCTCCTTCTCTTCCAACCAGCCTCAGGGTGAACTCAGTTCTCAGGTTAATTATGTTTCATCAAAGACTTTAAAGACTTTTACGGCCCCTACAATTCCTGCTCAGCTCTAAATACCTTGCTCCATCAGCTGACTACTGTGCAGATACTTTGCCAGGTGAGATAACCTGTTATTCAATTATCTTTATATATTTATATTTGCTCTGGATAAAGGACTAATGCCTGATGCCCAGAGGAAATGTAAATGCAAAGATGATTAAAATGTGAGTTGTAAAGTGTCATGATACTAAGCCAAACTCTCAGCTCACCGTTAAGTTGCTTTAAATAACTTATCATCAACACATAAGATCTTTTTTTCAGTAATACATAATATGATTTCCATTTCATGTCAAAGATTAATATTCAGTCATATATTTGTATTCAGACTTTAAATTCTGTCAACTAATCTGTACTACGGTCTTAGTTCATCTATCTTTCAAACACTAGACTTTTATATTTAAACTCTGGCTGGAATTTCAACAACAATTCAATCACAAAAGTTGGTTTTGAATAAAATGAAAAGAGAGGAAGAAAAATGTACTTACAATCACATTCCCTACCTCCAGAATAGATGCGGCCATCCCTGAGAAACAAAATCCTAAGGAAGCTGAAGGGAGAGAGAGAAGCGCAGCTCAGAGTCCCGGGACAGTTTGAAAGAAGTTGAGCACTCACGCGGGGAAGTGTTTTGAGGCACAGGGAGCCCGCCCCCTAATTATAGGCCATGGGCTCTTTGAAGACTTGCTAAGAGGCAATAAAAACCCAGAAATGGAAGGAGATTGGTGGATAGAAAGAGGACATCCCACCTCCCCAAACAGAGAGTGTCGAATCATTTTCCAAGATAAATGCATGAATGGGTTACTCATCAATCACCATGAGGACATTATTTCAGTTTCACTGGCATTATTTTTTCCACTGGGATTAGTCCAGTGAAGTCTGAGGGGAAAGACTACAGTTTAACATCATCTCACAGAAAATGATCAGGCCGGATAACAGATTTAGACATGCTGTAAATTGTATTCATGCTGCTTGACACATTACTATAGGAGCACTGTAAAAAGAAGTGAAAAAACCAACGTGAGCTCTTTCCAGTTCTCCTCCTGAGAGTGGAAGAATAACAAAAGAACATGTAGCCTCCGCCTGCGCCACATAAATAATAAAATAAATTAAGCAGACCGAGGCTGTGGTTTCCATCCGAGATTTTATTATTCTGGTTTCAACCCTCTCTCTGTTTCCAATATTCTTAAATGCAGTTAACTGCCTTTTTAGACATTAACTGTGATGGTAAAAGAGACTGAACTACAGAGACAGGCGAGCAGGAAAGGATCCCGCCATTAAATAAAATAAAGAAGAGATTATCACATCACATAAAATGAATTCAAATGGCAAATTCCAGAGGGTGGGGGGGGGGGGGGACTCGCAAAGATTATTTTCCATAAGTAAGATGTTTGATAAAAAGAGGAAGAAATGAGACATGAAAGCTGACAGAAAGTTTAAAAATGGGAAAAATAATAAATCTTGACAAAGACAGTTGCAAAGTGGTATTTCTAAATCATCTAGAGATAACTTGCTGTCATTATTGATTTTCAAATATACGACAAAAATCCTTCAGAGCAAAATGTAAAAAATATGTATGGGTCATATTTTGGTGAGTTACTCATTTTAAATGTATTTTATCTCCAAACTGTTTGCCAACTAAATATAAACACTTTTAGAGATTTGAGAAGAATCAACACTCCATCCAAATGTTTTGTAAAATGTTAGGTTTGCTTAGTCCTTTAAAGAGTTCTTCATTTGTTATTTTTCTTTAGATCATTATTTTTGTGGGGGACACATACATTGCGTACGGTTAAATATAATAAATATTCTCCTCACATTATATAGAAACAAACAAGTGTATAAGTTACATAAAAAATGTGGTCAAAAAACCTTCATTTAAAATATCTTTATACTTATACAATAAAAAACCAGTGTTAAATGCATGCGTGGTTTTGGGTTAAAGCGCACTCTGCTGTCACAGAAAGATATTCAACAAAAAAAGTGAATCTTCAATAAATCTGTATATAGTGAGAAACATAGGCTTTCATTTCATAGGTTAAAAGTCATCATATGTATGTATCTGTCTGTCAGGATTATGTTTCCAACGGCATTTTAGAATTGTATTTATTGGTTGAAAAAGTCAAGAACTTTTGGTCTCGGGTGAGACAGATTCTCAGCGCCTTTTTGTGGGCGTCTCGTTTTTCTGAAGGAGAGCACAGAAGATTAAAATTGTTGTCAAAAATAAACATATAATTTCTGTCCTTATTTTCTCCTCAATTACAGGGCTTGGTCAGAGCTAGGCTTGTCGTTCTGGAGAGTCTGGCCCTCACATGAACACAGCAGCTATATTTGGCAGTCTGCTCTCCAACTGACCTTCATCCCTTTATTTTCTTATTTCAGAAGGGTGTGAGTGGAAGAACAAAGGCTGCTACATGCAACAGTTCATATACACACTCCTTTCTATCTATCTATCTACTGTATCTATCTACCTACATCCAGATACATGTGCTATACGTGGCAATCTTTTCACACTTTCTTAGGCCTTTCTCTCCCCTCTCATTTGACACATGGTGTGTTACTGGTGTACGTCTGTAAGTGAAGTGTTCCTTTTCTTCTTAGCGTTCATTAATGCTTTATGTTTTACATTTAAGTGAAATGAGAGGGGAGGTATAAAGCTCTTAGACTGCCGCTAAAGTGGTCCGCAATGGACCGCTTTTTCTCATTTTTACAAGACTTGTAGTAATCTAAAAGCTTGGCGTGTTCCCATTTACAGTTCTCTTCAAAAGAGAGCAAGTGAGATGTATAATTAGAGAATGCGTTAAGCTCGTAACAGCCTCTTCAAAAAGCTTTCTCTGCTCTATTTACTATTTTCTGCCTTGTGCGGTTTAGATCTTTGGGTAGGTAGGCACTGCAGGCTTGATGAACCTTGGGGCGTTGGGTGGGCATGATTATGTTCCCCAAGGCTGATTATATGTTTCGTATAGATAGTTATTGTCCATATGACAGCTATCAGTTGTATTAGTAGTTCCAGGTTGTGGTAGTTTTGCTAGCTCATTAGCCTAAGTCCGTTTGTGTGCAACAAGCACACTCAAGCAAGCATGTTGCACCTTGTTCTAGCCATGTGGCCTTTTGCATTTAGATGATTCTCTTTAGATGACTTTCAGGGATGACCTCAGTTTTAACATCTCATATATCTGAATGTCTAATTTCTGGAAGTTTAATTGAACAGATATACTTGTCCTTTGTTTCTGACTTGATCAGTGAGTTGGTCTTGGTATATTCAGCTTTTGCGTGAGCTTAAATGCTTGCGAACTGACAAAACAACCCTCTACTTTTTTGAGAGCGTGAAGGAATGTTGTCCTCTGATATGGGACTGTTTGAATCTTACATTAAGCGTCATCACTAATTTGTATTCACCTATTTCCTGTATGTGTGCAATATTTAAATGTAATTCATGTGATTATGCTCAATGACTTTGCCTGGCATATACCAGACTGTCACAATCTTTTACATCCATCAAGAAACATTAACATCGTGCATTTTGTTGCTGGCCGAATGTAAAGCCTCTTTTGTTTTCAGATAATGTTTTACTCTGGTTAAAAATGGGAAACAATGAGACTCAATCAGTGGTCGACTGAACTGACAAACCTTCGGGTCGAGCCGTTTCAGAGCGGCAGAGTTCTTCTGGTTTCTCAGCTCTCACTTTGTTTAGTTTCAAAGGTGAAAGTGACTCCTTATCCAAGTATATTGTTCACTTTCTGGCAACTGCAGCTTACATTCAAAATGTAGAGAGAAAACAAGAGAACATTAAATTCACTTAGCTTTGTGTCTGTGTTGTTTTTTGTATTCATCAAATCATTGTGTCTTCATTTCTAGTAAGTATCTGAGTAAAGGCTATCACAAAATATAGGTAGAGAGTGATTTTGGAGATATACATATATACTGGTTAACCCAGACTAACTTTTAACTTATAAAGTAAGTAAAATATCCGAGTACTAACTCGAGTAAGAAATTACAGAAATATTTCAAGCCCTGTAGGCATGAATTACTCCCAGTGGCTTCGTTTGGTACACTTTAGTACAAGCGAGTTCATCCAGCAGGCGTCTTTCTTGAAATAGTATTGAAAGGTTTGCCAGATTCGTCTTGGTGGTAACACGAAAGCACATCAGCAGTTCAAAGCACCATGAAACAAAGCAGTGTGACTGCTAAGATGTTAGGCCTTGTCTATACATTGGTTTTTAATGCATCCTTCTTTTGGGGGTGAATGGCCTTCTGTTTTCTACATTGGTATTAAATTGGTCCCTTGGTATCATTAGGCCATTACAGCAACCAAGTAAGTGTGTGTAATGGTGGATCAATGGAATATCTCGCCATAATGCATTTCCCTTGACATTCCCCTCTGGGCTGCAACCCTCAGAAAATTAACAATGTTAATAATACTGCGACGGAGGGGGAAAATTGAAATGATTAGATGTGTTTTAGTTCGCTGCTGATGGAAATGTGGTGAGAGGGAATCAGGGTCAGGGATAGACTTGCCTTGCAGCATGACTCCGTGCTATTTTTCCAGGCTGTGTGGTCAAAGATTCAGTGAGCTTGTCAACGGAAAATGAGAGAGCGAGAGAAGTGCGGGAGAAGAGAGAAAGACGGAAACGTATAGACAGAAAGACTTTGAGTGAAAGAGAAAGGGTGGTGGGTTACACAACACACCAGTGAATATCATGTTCATTTGCTGTTGATGCTGCTAATTTCAGCATCACATGTTGGTCACTTGTGCGTTTTTGAGACAAACATGAAAAGCGACAACATGCTTTTAATAAAATGACCTGCCCGGCTCGAGTGGTCTGTCTCTACTTTGGGGCATGTAGGTGGTTTTGAGTAATTGAACCACCTACAGGCTGCATTTCAACCAGTGGACAGAACTTATTCAGTTAGCAGACATGCTGGTAATCACATGTAGCAATGAGGAGAAAGTCATCCTTGCCCTTTGTAAATGCAAATGAAAGAAGCTAAATGTCTCCTGCTGCTCATAACTTTGAATATTGTTTTTAATTAGCAGCATGATTTTAGTCTGACATCCCAACCCCCAGCATAGTTAATTCCTGTCTCCCTGTGATGTCTCAGTGACCACACGTCAGAAATAATCCCAAAAGGCACTGAGAGAACATCAATTGTTTTCCCTATAAAGATTGTTTGACTCTAAGCAGAATGCCTGAGTTATTATCTCGCTTTAGAATCAAAAATGTTGCTGTACTTGGTATTACATGCGCGTATCAGCTCTGGAAACACAGAAGTCCATCTACTCCCAAACAAATCCCAGTCCACCGCCTTCTTGCTATATACAAACCGACATCTGGCCTGTAATCTCCCCGTCTGTCGGGGAGACCTGCGGCCACCTAATGACCCCGACAGGCGTCATGCATGCAATTGCTCAGGATGGCGCAATGACAGTCTCTTTCAATATCTCTTTATACATACTTTGTAAAATGAGAGAGACTTTTAGGATATACTATGCTTTTACTGGACACTGTAGGTTGACTAGGCAGCAACATACATGTGTCATCATATCTAGGCTGAACATAACATAAAAACATTGTTA